CACTTTAATGCATCCGGGCTATATCCTTATTATATTCCACTTTATCCTATTTTGGGCAGGAATCAAAAAGAAGATAAGATGAATTTTATCCTATCATGAATTTTAACTTGACTACCAAACGTGGCCTTAAAGTATAAGAGTGGTGGATAGGAACTGCGGACGTGGCCTCTTTATCACATTCTTTTTTTCATTTTTCATGAATTGATCACAAATACTTGATTACTTTTCACCTATCCTAAAAACACTATAACATTAGAAAGCATAAAATGAATTTGAATAATGATGAGATGTCCATGAATTGGCAATAAAGTGACGTGCCCTCTTGGGAATTACTTGATCATTAGTTTGTGGTCAACGTGCTGGCGCCGCGTGACAAATCAAAAGTCATTCGATAAAATCAAAGAGTAAGAGAATCTATTTCTTCATTGAAAATACCGACCGTAAAAGCATGGTCAATTAGTTCAATAAATCGTGATGTGCTCATGAATTACAAATCTTTGAAAAGCAAATGTCATATGGTCATTTTCATCGTGCTTTCTTGAAATTCTGTCTTCCCGTGCTTCAGTTGCTTTTATGTTACGTGGAAAAAGTGTCAAGTGGGTGCTTGATTTCTTGACTAGAATGGTAGGAGGGAGAGAGAGAGACAAGATCTGAATCAAGACAAAAGATTTTGAGAATCTGCGATTGAAGCATTCATTCGAACCCACGCAGCTCTTTCATCAGAACCCGCCCTCCAAGTGCAAGGTAAATGTGAGCGAGTCAGATTAGGGAGAGAGAGAGAGAGAGAGAGAATGGAAATTGCCTTTCAATGCCGTAATTGATGAAACCCCGCTATTACTGCTTGTCTGGCTTAATCTACTATACCAAGCCAATCAAATATCAAGAAACGATGGACTCCCTGTCAACCACATGATCGATAGAACCAAGTCTATCCCAATATTTCTTTCCTCATATGCGCAGTTCCATGTGTTTGTGGGTGAAGAGGGTGATGAATAGAATACAATAGAGCCAGAGCCCCCATCTTGGCCCTTATCATGGCTTACCTCATGCAGTCTGTTGATCCTTTTTCCTCTCCTGGTTAAGTAGGTGGGAGGTTCTTTCTTGGTGGGTCAACTGGGGCTTGCTTGTTAGCGAATTCCCTGGTGACTGACTATATGTATAGAGTCTGGTTTTGTGCTCAGGCAGCTTGTGGGAGTGAACTCTAAGAGGTGGGAAGAGAAGAAGGTGAGTTGAGAGATGGCGGGAGGGTCTGTCGGTCCGACTGGCGTGGCGAAGGAGAGAGCGGAGCAGTACCAAGGGAGGGTTACCGGTTATGTGGTCGTAACATGCCTCATCGCTGCAGTCGGCGGTTCGATCTTCGGCTATGACATTGGAATTTCAGGTGATTCTCTCAGTTTGTGCAATCGATTCTTTAACGACCCAACTTAGAAATTAAATTTGACCGAATGCAGAGTGTCTTTTCTGCAGAGCTGTGCTATAACTTTTTGCCTTCTTTTGCAGGAGGAGTGACCTCAATGGATGGATTTCTTAGGAAATTCTTCCCTGATGTTTACAGAAACAAGCAGCATGCACATGAAAACAACTACTGCAAGTACAACAACCAAGTCCTTGCCTCATTCACGTCTTCTCTTTACCTTGCTGGGTTGGTCTCCTCTCTGGTCGCCTCTCCCATCACAAGAAACTATGGACGTAGAGCAAGTATTGTTTGTGGCGGAGTCAGCTTTCTTGTTGGAGCAACTTTAAATGCTTCAGCTCAAAATCTTGCAATGCTTCTCTTGGGTCGGATTATGCTTGGCGTTGGCATTGGCTTTGGAAATCAGGTATGCCCTCTTCTCTATTTATCTTGTAGCATAAAAGCAGTAACTTATGAAGCATGTGTCGAGAGGTGATCTACGCGAATCTGTTGAATGAGTATTAATGCTTTGCGACTGAGCACTACAATAATAGGATAGCAGAAAGATAGTATTCTCGGGATGATGTATCAAAAATGAATGTCTTGTAGGATTATTAGGAGTTACAGAAGTGAGGGACATGGTTGCATTGAACCGAATGAGAAGGGAAAGTTTTAGAAATATTATACTCATGTTCAGCCTTACCCAAGTGAAACTCATTCGCCTCTTTTGCTCTCTGAAGGCTGTTCTACTATATTTGTCAGAGATGGCACCTGCCCATCTTCGAGGAGCATTGAACATCATGTTTCAGTTGGCTACAACTCTGGGCATATTCACTGCGAACATGATAAACTATGGAACCGAGAAGCTCAGGCCTTGGGGATGGAGGCTCTCTCTAGGCCTGGCTGCAGCGCCAGCTCTGTTGATGACAGTTGGAGGACTATTCCTACCAGAGACGCCCAACAGCCTAGTTGAACGTGGAAATAACGAGGAAGGAAGACGAATCCTAGAAAAGATTAGAGGAACCAAGAATGTCAATGCAGAGTTTCATGACATTGTCGATGCCAGTGAATTAGCAAAGGCGATCAAGCATCCGTTCCGAAATATTCTTGAGAAAAGAAACAGGCCTCAGTTAGTCATGGCTATTTTCATGCCCACTTTCCAAATCCTCACAGGCATAAATTCAATTCTTTTCTATGCTCCGGTGCTGTTTCAGAGCATGGGGTTCGGAGGAAGCGCTTCCCTTTACTCCTCTGCTTTGACAGGAGCGGTGCTTGCTTCATCCACGTTTATTTCCATTGCAACAGTTGACAAATGGGGTCGAAGACCTCTACTTATTAGCGGAGGAATTCAGATGGTTGTATGCCAGGTAAAAAGAATTTCTTTTCTCTTTTGCACATACTCCACTTAAAGACAAGAAAAGTTCATCTCCAATATGTGTGAAAATCACCCGAATTCCAAACCAAATACCCACCAAAACAAGGTGTATCGATTTGTATGAAGCAGATTACATGATACAGCACATTCGCTTTGTAATTTCACAACAAAAAATTGAAACTATCACAAAAATGATGCTCATCCATATTGCTGTGGAGGCGCTCAGATGCACACAGACGAATACTCTAGCTGTGCTCAACAGGATTAAACATGTTCCTTTTGCCTGTGATACAGTGCGTAGTGGCAGTGATATTGGGAGTCAAGTTCGGCGACAACCAAGAGCTATCAAAGGGCTTCTCAATACTGGTTGTGACCGTGATCTGCTTGTTCGTGCTGGCTTTTGGGTGGTCATGGGGCCCTCTTGGCTGGACCGTCCCGAGTGAGATATTCCCCCTAGAGATCCGATCAGCTGGGCAGAGCATAACCGTGGCCGTGAACCTTCTCTTCACCTTCATAATCGGGCAGTCTTTTCTTTCCCTCCTCTGCACATTCAAGTTCGGGATCTTCCTCTTCTTTGCCGGCTGGGTCACGATCATGACCGTCTTCGTCTACGTGTTCCTACCTGAAACCAAGGGAGTCCCGATAGAAGAGATGATATTCCAGTGGAGAAAGCACTGGTTCTGGAAGAGGATAGTGCCTGCTTACCCGGAACTTGATGAAAGTAATGGCAGAGAAAGCAACTCCATGGAGATGGGTGCGAGGTGATCATATGTTACACTAAACTTGCCTGTGCTTGCTTTTCAAGAGAATCTGTCGCCGACTTAGGATTGTGTGTTACATGAGCTAGTCAGCGACTGCAATCTCAAATAAGAACATTTTATTTTGTTACTTTTTGCTTTTGGTTAGTGTGACTCCGGTTATAATGGAGGAATAGTGTTTGTCAATCACAATGTCACGAATTTAATGGCTGCTTCGGCATAAGTTCAAAGATAGGGCAAGGATTCCAGATGCTGGCTGATTCAGTTGTCTTGCTTGCCAATATATATAATCCCATTTACAGGGCAAAGTAGAAGAAGACAACTTATGGAATATATTCTCCGAAATAGGTGGCCATGGTTGGAGCGGACAGATCTTATAATTCTTTCCCCCTAATACATCTAAACAAGCCAATAATCCTCTGAAGGATGAGGGGATCACACACCCCGTACTATTTTGCCAACTATCTATTGCTGATAAGCAAAATCGACGATGCCATCTCAATCCGACGTAATGAGCACACACCGTCACCCATATTGCATTGAAAACCAATGCGCTTGGGGACCCCAGACACAGAGAAGTAACTACTAAATAGCGAAGGTTATGCAATTTTTTCTTCCCAGCAGACGTGCATTTTTTTCTCGCTACCTAACAGACTAACAACATAAAAGGTGCGTTTTGAATCATGTAGCCGTAGTGGCCAAAATAAGAAATGCAAACAGTTGCGTCCTCGAGTCTCAACTGTCCAATGCGGGCGTGCACTCGAAAATAGTGTTTTTATGGGTGATCATACAATGCCACAAACTTTTCACGAGCAACTTAAGACAACCAAGATGCATCCGGAAAGGACTATAGAGAGAAGCTTAAGTATATTAGGAGCACAAGAGACTTGCCTCGAAGCATATCAAGACTAAATACAGATATTCAGTCGGATCATCAACCCACGGGCATTTTAGTTCCCCTGAGATTATGCATATCAGATGCAAGATCAAATGCATTTGCAGCCAGAGCAGGGTTCAATCAATCAGTGTAGCTCATGCCAACCAAAGTAACCAACATTATCTCCATTCCCCACGACACAAACCCAAGACGTCGCTTGGATCAATATGCCTGGAGGAAGATGGACTGTGAAGCTGCACTCATATACATCTGCTAAACTGAGGCTGCTAGAACTCGGGAATTTCTGCCTAACGGCTTACACTATACCATACCACATCCCGAAATCGAACTAGAAAAAACCCCTAGCAACCAGGATGCAAAGAAGCTGATTTGCTACTGCACAACATAAAGTCTTCACCAGACCCACTGCTTCAAATCACACCTCATCAACATTGTAGGTATAGTTTGTGATACCTACCACACTTCTCTCGGCCGTTCTTTAGTGAAAACTTGAAAGTTGGGATTTCTAGCCAACGATGATCGAATTCCATTTGCACATCGATATGAAACTGGCTCATTAGGCAATCAAACAGCAACATAATAAATCATCATCATAATATTTATCCCAGCATACTGATGTATTACATAGAAGCAACAGATACTTAGTGTATCAGACCAATCTATAAAAACCAGAAACTCTCCCCGACATAGAATCATAAGTTAGCCAATATTTCTTTCTAAAGTGGCATACTAATGCATACTCTGCAGACCAATACTTCGATTTAATGACCACACAGGCTACAATAAATACTGCGTATTGGATCCACGTACACACATCTAAACTAAACATAACTTAACACCCCTAGAAGAAACCCGTTCAGGTTCCCTGATCAACCATCTCGAATTTCCTCGATAAAAAGACTACCAAACTTCCATCTTCAACAACTTCCTTTTTGCTTGCAATCAAAAGCCCCTTCCTCCTGAAAAGATAAAGGAGAGCCCTTTTGATTCTCGAACAAGCAAATCTCCGGCGGAACACATCCATCAGATTCGCGGAATTCACAGGGGCACCACCACATCTGCCGCGACACGCGAAGTCTCCAAAACCACGCGAATTTTCCCTCAAATTCACGACAAGTGGAGCCCCAATAGCCGCCTCAAACTGCACGTCGCCAGGTCGTTCTTGCCCAAGAAGCACGGCACGGGGACGGAACTCGGCGGCGGGGACGAGACGCACATCCCCGGACCCGCGTAGACGCCGGGCAGCTCCCCGACCCGGATCTGCCGCTGCACGGTCTCCGGGTCGGGCCCGATCCGGTCGGTAGACCCCAGCGCGAGGTCGGGATCTCCTTTCTTGATCTTCCCCTTCGCCGCCGCGGCGAGGCTGGGAGATCCGTGGCGGGCCGCGGCGAAGGCGGTCAAGGGCTCGCCGCGCTTCAGGATCTTGACCTGGCCCATCACGAGGCTCTTCGACGCGGGGGCCGCCGCGGGGCGGGCACCGATCGATTCGGGGCTGCGTTTCCGCCGGCGGGGGCGGCCGCGGTCGGGATCGGACAGGCAGCGAGGGTTAGGGTTTCGCCGGAGGATGGCGGTGGCCATGTCTGTGGTGGAGGAGGAGGAGGAGGAGATCTTGTTCGATTCGCTTGGTCAGATTGAAGGGTGTATTTATAGGTTCCATGATTGTGCTGAGCTGGATTTTGGAAACCGCCATTGGAGGAGAGGAAAGGGCCACGAGATGGGCCCAGGCCCTTTTGGGCCCATGGGCTTTGGTTGTTGGGCCTTTTTCTGATTTTGATTAGTGGGCCTACATGAAGGCCCAGTCCAGTTCTCGCGAGGACCGGGTAGGTTCGTAGGTGAAGACCCCGGGAACCCGACTGGGCAAGGCGGGTTCGATCACCGGGTTTTTTTGACTCTCCGGAGTGCCGGTTCAACTCGGGAATCGGTCTGCACGAGTTTTAATCTTATTTGTGATAAAAGAAAAAAAGAGCATATATATATATATATATGCTGTAGCAAAAGAGATTCGATCATGGGTGGCTTAACAAAGTTTTGAAGCGCTTCGACCATTTTTATGGAAAAAATATATTTAACTATCTTCAAAACGAAAACATAACTTGGTTTCAAGTTCTTCTTTTCTTTGTCATACTATTTTTTTTCTAATCAAGTTTTCATACTCTTAATGTTTGTTATCATGTTGTCTAGTTACATAAAATGTCTAATCAAGTCCTGCAATCATCAAATTTGGAAAAATCCAACCGTATGTGGACACCTCATATATATATATATATGCTAGAGCAAAAGAGATTCGATCATGGGTGGCTAGACAAATTTTGAAGCGCTTCGACCATTTTTATGGCAAAAATATATTTAATTATCTTGAAAACGAAAATATAACTTGGTTTCAAGTTCTTCTTTTCTTTGTCATACTATTTTTTTCCTAATCAAGTTTTCGTGCTCTTAAGGTTTGTTATCATGTTGTCTAGGTACATAAAATGTCTAATCAAGTCCCGCTAACATCAAATTTGGAAAAATCCAACTGTATGTTGACACACCAGTGTGACGTGGATTAAAAATTGTTTATGAGGGCAGCCACCCCCGTCGTCGAAAGGTCCATTCAAAGCTTCGCTCCTTGTATTTTTTATTCATGTTTCTTGTTCACCCTTTATTCACTAAGCAATTTTTAATCCATGTCACGGTATGGGGGACTTCCAACAGCCACATTAGTTGAATTTAGCCCAGATTGGTGTCAAAAGAACTTAGTTAGACATGTTATGTAAATAAGAAAACTTTATTAGAAAATTGAAAGCACCTGAATTGAATTAGCAAAGTAGTGAAAGTAAATGGGCAAAAGTTTTTTCTTTCTTTTTTTTTTTCTCTAGAGAGTAGGTTGATTTTAAGCTAACATTTATGTATTTTAACTAGTCCACCTCTTCGGGCGATTTTAAATGAGCATTTCCCGAAATCGGCTTGGGTGCATTCATGCTTTTTTTTTTTGATTTGAAATGCTCCCGATAAAACTAAAACTCAAGACCGCATTGTGTTTGGATAAGAACTTTCGAATCCGATATCAAGGAATGTGTATAAGGATTGCTTGGGGACGGATTCCCGATCCCTTGACGACCAACAAACTAAAGAAAAAGTAAATCACGCCCATGGATCGTAAAACTTTTAAAGTTTCGTTATCACGACAATTTATACAGGAATCATCAAAAAACTAAAAGGAGTCACCAGTCACCCATCACGACGTGGGGATCTATTCCGCGATAAGACCCGAAGAACCGCTCGGGGGTTTCCTACAAATCCTCCGTTTGGACCGTCGGATGAAAGCACGAGCGCGTTCACATATGGATTGAAAATCGCGTGCACGATAATTGATACCGGGGCCTACGACGGTGACGGTAAACGTGGGACCGCGCGAAAGTCCTGCATAATGTTCGTCAGAACTGCCATATGGTTGGCCACCAAGAGGAAGAAGAAGAAGAAGAAGTGGCTGAGTCAGACGGTGGTGGTTCGATGGCATTTGATGCCTCATCTCGTCACTCGTCTTCATAAATGAGGAATATGGAGAAAAAGCGCCTTTGCCGACATATGGTCGGTTCCAGATTCTCCCACCCCCCTTCTGTCTTTTCGCATCCCAAGTATCTTTCCACGTGTGTCCAACCGCTGTAAAAGATATCCATCGACAATTGAAAAAGAAAAGCACGACAAAGGAACGCGGCGGGCAGGACCGAAATCGAGTGGGAGCCACTCCGTGCGGTGGTTCGGGTTCGGTTCGGTGACGGCTCGAGATCGATTCTTCTGATTTCAAATCTAGCTCTCCCTGACTTCGAGTTGAACTTGTAATCGAGTTAATGGGGGTATCTATCTTATATGGTCGAGCTAGAATTTGTTAATATTTAGCTCGATAAGGTCCGGGCTTAACCAAGTTTTCGTCGATTTTTCATATTTTAAAGGATTAATATTATGGAAAACCCTCAACGACACAATTATGGTAAATTTATCCGAAACTAATATTTTGATCGCCAATAACTCCAAACTGGTACACACGTGATAAATTTATCAAAAACTAATATTTTGATCATCAATAACTCTAAATTAATACATTTGTCACAAATTTATCTTTAATTAATTTCCATTAAATTGGATTATACCCATGAAAAACCACGAACTGATTATGATAAACGGAGGGTAAAACCTCAAACCGATATACCCGTCAATTGCCACTTTTTATCCAACTTAACAATTTAACAAATAAATTTAACGAAAATTAACGGAGGATAAATTTATCACATATATACTGGTTTGGAATAATTTTGACACAAATGTATCGCTTTGAGGCTTTTCTTTATATTAATTTTTTCTGAAACATATAAATTGCTGGGCATTCTAATTTTACTAATCTCGAGCTCGAGTCGGGCAATCTAAAGCATATAGATTGCGATGGAGTCGAGCCGAGTCGAGTTCGAGCTTGGCCGGATATCAACTCGGTTAGGTTATCCCCTCGAGGTCGGCCAAATGTCTTATGACGTTTGACATTTAGGTCCCGTCCTGTCCCACCAGCGCGTTGACCGTCGATCGCTCCGTAGACCCCACGACCTTTTACGCCTTAGCGGGCCCCCCGCGCGATGACGTGGACGGCCCCGATGCCACGAAAGCGGAAGAACTCCCCCTTCGGCCATTACACTCCGCCAAATCTACCGCAGGAAAAAGCGCAAAGGCTCGAACTTTCGTTTCCTGTTTCAACTGACGTCAAACAAACGGGCGTTAATGCGTGTCCTGTCGCCTGTTGTATTGCCACCTTCCTCTTCCGCTTTCCCTCCCCCAGAAAGATCCCTCTCTCTCTCTCTTCTCCATACCCGCATTGGTTTCTTGAGCTTTCCCGTTGCTTTCTTGGCTTTTCTTGTAGCTCCAAGAAGGTCGAATCTTTGGGGAGTTGTTGGGTCTGGAGATGGAGACGACGACGGCGGTGACGGTGGCGGCGGCGGCGATGCACAAGAAAGCGGGCAGCGTCGGCAGCGGCAGCGACAGATCGTCGATGGAGAGGGAGGGGTCGGAGAGCGACCGGGAAGGAGGGAAGAGGGAGGTGTTCGTGTTCTTCGGGTGGGTTTATCATCTGGGGGTGAACTCGATCGGGCACGAGTATTGCCACCTGAGGTTCCTGTTCATCCGGGGCAAGTACGTGGAGATGTACAAGCGCGATCCTCACGAAAGCCCCGGCATTGTAAGCGTTTCGGACCCGAGGATGTTTTCCTTGTTTTCTTGTTTCTCTTGATGTCTGCGTGGCCGTGTCTCTGTTTTTTTCCCCTTGCGCTCGCTTTTTCCGCGGGTTTTGCGATTTTGACTTCCGGGTTGAGTTTTGTTTTTTGGTCTTGGCCTGATGACAAGTGCTATGTTAGCTCAAATTGTCTTGTGGGTTCTGTTTATTGATTTGGGAGAGCAACTGCGAGCAGCTTTAGATGGTGGGAGTAGGGAATCAGCTAATGGGGCAGAGGATTTTGATTGTGAATTGTCATCGATGATTTGAATGCCCTACTTGCATGAATGAGCTGCTCTGTAATCTGCAATTATCAGAAAGAGTTCCATTGAGCCGCTGTTGTTCAATTCTTGATAATTAGTCTGGCAGTTGACTAATCATTATAATATTATGTATTAGAGTCATTGTATCGCTAATTGCCAACTGTACAGTGCTCCGAGTTAATAAGTAATGGCTTCTTTCAGTGCTATGCCGGTAGTAGTAGCTGTTTAATGATTAGTTCTTGGATTTCTTTTGGCTTGCTCAATAGCGGCTAACAGCAGCCTTGTAACTGGCTGTGATTACTATCATCTGCCAGTATTTGTAAACTGAGTGCGAGTAGCATTTTTCTCCTAAGTTTATTGTCATACATTGAGGCCATCTGAGACAATTTTCAGTAGAAAATTTTACATATCCTTCGGATACCTTTGATTGCTCACGCTTCTCTCCCTCCCTCAGCAATTCTTTTTCATAGTAGAGCAAGACAAAAGCGTGAATAGGAAAGGGTGTGGTTTGAAGAGATGATACTATGTAATTTCATACTGGACCAATGAAGTTTGGCAGGTGTGTTGGGTGCCAAAATGACGATCCATTGTCATATTAATTTTTTATCACCTTCCTGCTTACTTGTGGAAAATTAGAACTGCGAATTGCTGCGAGCTGTGGTTTTGTCCTCAATTTAGCAGGCAAGTCAAATAGATGGCATCAATGCAGGGAAGTCTTTTGAATGGAGATGGAGAACTTTCTGCAATTGGACTTGAAGGGTACTGTAACGTGCAGAAACTGAAAATTGGCTAAGGTTTTATGAACCTAATCAGTCCTCAGTTACAATCTGGTTTATCAAAAAGACTTGTTTTACCTTTTTTGGTAACCCCATTCAAGTGATAATCATTTTCCACTAGCCAATGAGACAAGTTCTTTATCAAGCCTTCTGTTTGGTAAAACTGGAACTTTAGTGCCAAAAGTTTGAATACTGAATTTGAAGTGTTGGCCATTGTAAGTGCTGAAAATGAAAGTAAAATGTTGTTTATACTTTTTTTTTTGGGAACAAAAGTAACCCCATTCTTAGCTAACTAAGTGATGTTTTTGACTTGATTAGGTAAAAGCTAGTTATGGTTATCAAATGTGCTTAATTTTATTAAGTGCTGAATACATTAATTTTCAACACTTACTGGAGTTTTCAAACAGGCCCTGCTTCGGCGAGTGATAAGCTCTTTCTGGATTATGGCCGAGTAATAAGACATGTCTCTAATAGCTAAAAGCTAGTATGAGTACCTACTGGACATTCTTTTAACAATTTCAAAGATGTGTAACATTGCTTGGGCTCCTTAAACTTCCTCAGGATCAGACACTCAATAATTCAAAGAGTAGTGAGAAAGATTGACGATCAATTAGCAATGGTTTTGATGCCCCAATGCCAAAATTGACTTCCCCAGTGAACCAATAGGTTTAATGACTGTTGCTTAATTTCTTCATGAACTATTGTTGCATCATGATCCCTTTTTCTACATTGTTTGATATTTGATTGTCATTGTCCTTTCTCCTAATTAAATGCACAGACCAGGTCAAATGCATCTTCTTGCTCCTTTACCTTTTGTCATTATAAGTATAATTTAGGAAAAAGATTACCGAATGCTATTTGTGAAACTATTTTGCAGTCTCTTTCTCACCATAGTTTAGCCAAAAGGATTTCCATCATCTAGATCTATCAACTTGATTGTTTTTGGATTTATCTTCATGCTATCATTTGCATGTACGAGAACACTGAATGCATCTATACTTTCGGCCCTAATCGCTTCCCTTGGCACAGCAACCTATCAGAAGGGGTGTTGTAGGGCTCTCACTTATGGTGGAGGATCTAGGGCGTCGGAAGGTCAACCATGGGGTGAGTTTTTTTTCCCCTATATCTTGTCAGCAGTTCCATGGATATAAAACATCAGAATTGTTCTGTAACCTCCAAAAGCACACTTACATCCTCCAGGTGAGAAGTTGATGTAACTTCAGATTCTTCTTTAAGGGGATTTCTTCTTTTGTGGCAGGATCTTTATGTTCTGCGGTTTTATAGTAGGCTAGATGAGACAAAGAAAGGAGAGGTTAGTTTCTCGTTTCTTTCTCGTGCTGTTCTTACCGGTGATTGACATGAAACTGGAAGATGATATTTTGTAGATAATTAATTTTTGTTGGAGTACTTTTGAACTGGCAATCGGTTTTTTTTCTGATTCTGTACTTAATAAGCTTGTTCAAGTTCTCATCCTAGTATGCTTCATTGTTAAGAAAAAGTGCCAATGTAATAGAAAATAGAATTGAGAGAGTGGAAGAATAAGATTTACATGGTTTGGCCATTGGCCTACATGCACAGGCAAAAGAGGAGAAGAAATTCACTAATTAGAATTTGGACTACAACCAAAAAGCAAACTCTCAAAACCCTAGTCCCACTTAAAGCCGATATTTCTCACACCCATTCAAATAGACGAAGTGAATATTAATACTTAAACCCTGGAAGAGAATGCTGAACGCTGAAACTAATGTGCACCACGCTGGCTCCGCCATAACCCTCACGAAAAATTCTCAATTGGGTGGCCATAATATTTATTGAATTGGGTGACAAGCAGGGCCTGCACATCAAAAGTTCAAGCTAAAACTAACGAGGTAACATTCTATAAGTCATGCTATGAAAGGTACTTCACTTTTGCAAATAAAGAAATTACGAAGGTGGGACAAGGACTTGGATAAGCTAATTGAGTTGAATTATCACATGTGGTCTGGACCAAGGCAAAGTGGGGCTAACAAGCGGAGCTGGGTCATGATAACAATATGAATGGAGCAATAATTACAGAAATTGTGAAAAGACTGGAGAAGAATAGGTGCTAGGAAGAGAAGGTTTAGAGCATAGGGATGGGATGGTAGAGCAAAACTGAAATGAGCCAATAAGCTTGCAATTATTAGGTATCCTTTATGTCAAGTTGTTAGATATGTCTAAACCAAAAGTTTAAGCTGATAGTTGGAGGGAAACTATATGAATTATAAGGCAATGGAAACCTTATAGACAAGTGATGTGGGATATTGTAACACTCCCTCTCACATGCCAATCGAACTAAAAATGGCTTATGGAACTGACGAATGGGGAGCTTCACCTGCAAAACAAATCTGCTGTGAAACTCAGCTCCGTTTCCATATTAGAATGTCCCACCCAAAGGCATAAGTTGATAGGCGAAGGGAGACTACATAAACATAAGGTCCATTGAAAGTCATAGACAAGCGATATGGGACACTCATAACCTGTTCTCTTTCTTCTATCAGGTCAGGGAGTACCAATAGTTGCGCTAAGATTGGAACATGCCAATGTAGCATTGCCGTAGAACTTGAAACCAGCTTAATTGTGACTCCCTTGTATTTTCTTACAAAATATGTCTTATAGCCAACAATAATAATTTTATCACTACATCCCATAAAGTAATCTAAAAAGAGAAGTTGCTTATGTAGAACGGTCTTATAGTGCCTCCAGTGGCATGTTTCCCATTTTGAATATGTTGCTATTGCAAAGAATGAATTTGTCACATGGAACTTGCACTTGGTGGGAGAGCTGATACCTGCGTTGCTTTATTTTTTTTTTTTTGGAGAAACATATGGCAGTTCCTTTGAGAAGAAGGCTCATGTTCCTAATGCCAATGAATATGACCAGAAAAATGATTGTCCTTTCCGGAATCTGGAAAGGATTTTGATGGTATATGAATGAGAGACAGATCAATGCAGATCCTTGTTGATAAAAAAAGATAGGAAATACATTAAGAAAATTACACATTCTTGTTTAAATAATCTAACTTTGAAGCATCATATTACTGTACTCAAATCCTGACTTCAAGAGAATCAATTGACTATCATATTATTAGGTTCTTTTGAGGAGGCAAGAAATATAAAAGTAGCTTGTGTGGCGTTATTTTGGAAAACAGTATATGCTGGGTAAATTTTCTTCGTGATTTTTCTTTTGCTTCAACTCTCATGTCTAAATTGTGTCCTGTCTTGTAGAAGTGTATTTCCTTTAAACTCTGCATAAAATGAATGACGATTGACTGCTTCTTTGCTTCAAGATTGCTTGTGCCACTGCTGGGGAAGTGCAGAAGTGGATGGAGGCTTTTGACCTTGCCAAGCAACAGGTTCAAAAGTATCACACGAGTAATGGCATTTGGCATAAAAAAGTTGTTCCATGTCTTTTATTTTCCTTTGCACTCCATCTTCAGTTTTAGGATTTTCATTGTGAATTATAGTCCTACATTGGTAAGGCCTTGATTTTGAAGAGCTGAATAGACAAGAGGCAGTAGAGCAAAATGAAATTCATGTATATTTTCACCAACTCTTTTTTTTACACAGGCTGAGTATGAGCTGTCAAGAGGCGGCAGTGCCAGGAACAAATTGAGTATGGAGACAGAGTATGCTTTTACTTGTGGTTCATAATACACTTCCATTAACTAATGATGCTTTTACATCAATTTTGATAAATATGCTCTCTCTCTCTCTCTCTCTCTCTCTCTCTGCACGCCCGCAGCTGCACATGCTTTCTTGGGCGTGTGGAGGATGTGCATGTGAGTGTGCTATGCTAACATTTTCTGAATTCTTATATTCTGTAGGATCACTCTAGAGGGCCACCGACACAGAGTAAGGCGTTATGCCAATGAATTGAAGAAGCTTATTAGAATTGGACAAGGTTGGTTAAATTTACATATATTATTATAAACTCGTATCCAACCATTAATGATATCCACCAATGATACATGTCTTTTGCTTAAACAAAGCACAACAAATGCAAAAAACCTTTTGAAGGGATAAACGTCTCCCAATAACCAATGAATATAATTAATGAGGAAAATATATAGTAAAATTTTCTTCCTTCAACAATCACCGTTGGCTTTTTATAATCCATTACAGTAGCACAAAAACTTAGAATACCATTGTTTCTAAGGCTACATATTCTTTTATCTTTTGTACTCGGTATCTTTTGATTGCTAAAGGTGCGTAATAAAGAAAGATATGTATTAGCCAACTGCCATCAATCTTTTTATAGCATGTTTGTTGATCTATTGTTGTGACAATGAAGAAAAAAATATTAATGTACAAAATCAGAATATAAAAAGCACCTGTGTGAAGCATGGAGTGCTTGATTATATTATCTTTGTGATTGTTCTCTCTTTCTATTTTAACTGAAATTCCATGTACTATATGGCATTGATCTGGTAAAATGAGGAGAAAATAAGCATTCTCTGCCTGTGTGCTCTGCCTAGATGCACTTTTCGAGATTGTTATATGTGAATTAAAGCCATCTTGGGTAAAGCCATCTTCTATTTTTGTGTCTACTCTATGAGTTGTATTTTATTCTCTCTGCAACATGACTTGGCTGAGATTTGTATCGGTTTAATGATGTCTTGATAGAGGGGGGGTCCTGGTTAGACTAAGAGCTGTGATGCCTATGACAACTGAGAACAATATGCGTACATATATTTAGAGACATTATTGATTGGTGCTTTCTTAATACACGCACACACACTATCTGCAAGAGAAGTTGTTTGAATAGTTTGGCTTGTGCTGAAGTTATATTGTAATGGAGCTTATACTAGGGAGGCTTAATAGAGTGTCCTCCTATTAGATTTGATAAGTTTGATATTCTCTGTGCATTGATGTTTGGCCTTAGGTTCAAAGTACGTCCTCAAATTGGTATTATGCTTCATGCCTTTCATTACTCATAGTTCTTTCCTTTACCATTTAATATGAATGAATGCATATGGAAATGTATATTAAAATCCTTTTTTCTGGATAACGTTGATACTAATCAAAGATAACAATACTTACCTATTAGGTATGTCATGTGAAAATTAGGTTAGAATATGGAGAATTGCGCTTCAGTTCAATTTAAGGATTAAGGCAAATGTTTGAACTGAAGGAGTTAGGAAAAAGGTCAATTGATATCATATAAATTTGGTGGGCTAAGAACAGTTAAATACCTTATTATCAATTTTCATTGTTCCGCTACAAGTAATTGATGGGAAAGATAATATTATTTTTGTAAGTGGGGATGATAGGTCAAGAGTGAAAAGAATTGGATTTAAAAATTTTCGGAACATCAAAAGAAAGTAAGGATTGTAACTGGATGAAAGGCTCCCGAATTAAGATGTCTGGTGACAACCAATACTTTTGTTCAAATATACTATGGCCAGCACCTTCTTTTTCTCTATCAGGGTGACATTCGCAAAGACACCTTCTGTAGGTCATAATTAACACTGTCAACTTGCTCACGATGTGGGAGTGCATTATGATTGAAAATCATAACTATTTTCATTGTCTTAGGAATGTTGTTCACACAGAAAACTATGAAAATTTTCAACTTTCATGCATGCTAAATACTACTTATGAAGGTCTGGTTTAATTAGTGACGAGCAAATGCTACATACGTAATTCATGTGATGTCAAGTATTATAAGTCACTGGTGTAACTTATAAGTTTGACCTTTTGATGTAAGCCATTTATGTTTAAGTAAGTTAAGAAGATTCAGTCAGCACTAATTAAATTGGTATTCAGTAATGGACAGGATGTTATTGAAGAATCACTTTTGTAATACATTAAAGAATCCCAGAACTGGCTTGTGCATGCAACCTAAAGAAAGCTAAAATTGATCATAGCAGTTGCTTAACATTGCCTGCTGTTCTCCAGTTCAGATAAGTCAACTCCATAGGGAAGCTTTTCTCTATGGTTGAGCAAGAGCAGTTGGTCTAAAAAGGTATCTAGTCGAAATATTCTGATACTGTCAAGAAGAGATTCAAATTTTACTGAAGAAATTTATTCTACTACAGCGAAATATATAGATGATAGACACTGGAACATACTGCTTCTTGCTAAATTATCAGCAACTTACTCTGCTGGTGTCTGATGAACCTGGAGCATTGAAGCGAGTAAGAAATTTCAACTAAAAATCTAATTGCTGCTTCTGGTTTTGTTCTAACACACAATTGGAATATAAGGTATGCACAATGCATTAATAATTTTAAATATTCACTGAATTTGTCATTAACCATGATAGGGGATCATCTTTATTCATTATCTTGGTACTGTTTGTATCTTACAATCAACATGTTGCATAATTGATTTGTCATACTGTACATTGTTTGATTCGGGCTCTTCATGACCCTTGTGAAAGTAAATGACTGGAAAGAGATTCGTGACTGAATGGTTGGGGTGATCTGAGTACTTAATATTTTTTTATAGTAAAATGACAATGACTAGATACAAGTATGCCGCTGTACACTCAACACATACTAATACCGAGAAGTACAAATACTAAAACAACGCTCACCCAAAAAAATGCATGATCATGGACCTTGAATTCTCATATCCTATGTTTTGCACCATTGTCTCCGTTTTAACAGGTCCAGAGATGCTCCTAAGTAAATCATCAAGCTTGGGTATCGGAGCAGGTGGAAACATTGGCGGGGATGTAGGAGATGCAATAGAAGCTAATGAGTGGAAATGTATTCGTACAATGAATGGTACTCTATCTTAGCTTAAGTAATGGTTCATGGCCAACAATGATGTTTGAATCTTCAGAGTCCTTTTTTATATGGTAATTCTTTTTGGAAAAAAATGTGAGCCTTGGTATATAGTTATGATTTATTGTTGTTCTGTGAGGTTATGCTTTGATTTGATATGCATTTTGGTTCATTTTTCTCTCTTTCCCATTTTTACTTGACTCTGTCAACTACAAAATTCAAGGAGTAAGAAAATGGCTAGCTCATCCAAAAATTTTAAAAAAGGTAAGGGGACATGTATGTCCATATAGTAGTGAAAAAGAAGCATTAAGTTTTAGAGATTGGCAAACATTTTATGTTTATGAGAAATTCAATTCTTTCATTTATCCAGTCAGCATTGACATGCATACAACAAAACGGGGTTGGGGCAAGCATAAGCTCTAATATGCAAATTACTGATCTAAAGAATGAACTTGAACAGAGCTGTGAACTGAGTTGGCTGAAGACTTGGATTGTTTCAAACATATAATTGTGAACGGTAATTATTAGAACATTTCTGAATTGTTTAAATCTGTTAAAGTTAGACAGGTTCACTCTAGACCAATGAAAATGAAACACGGATCTTGCCTGACTGATTTATACTAAAAAGCCTTGAACTAATGGTAACGAATCTAGAGAGTGCTTTTGCTCTTGGGATTTGCACTGGAGTGATCAGCATAAGATGTTAAAAGCTGCTCCTTTTGGGGTTTTCAGAATCCTACGGTGTGGATCACGTGACAGGATACTGAGGTTTTGTACAGGCTTCACCTGTCATTCTCAATATAGTGCTGTTCATTTTCATACTAGCGATCGTCTATATATTGTGGAGTAATTCCTTAGCTTTGGTTTCTTCCTGTTGAAACTCTGAATAAAGATTTCCTGTAAAGAATTGTTTGCATGTTGAGAACTGATTTCCCTGGCAATAAGCATGCAAACTTTTAAGTATTGTCGAGTCTCTATAATGTTGTTTTGTTTGTGATTTCAGGTATTAGAATCTTTGAGGATGTTGCTGAGTCCAAGGTATATATGCAAGCCTTGTGCTTTCTTATTCTGTCATTGTTTCTCATATGTCTCTTATGTTTCCGTAGAACTTGCTGTACAGCTTTTCCCATGCTGTACTTTGTTTCACTAATCAGAGCTGGATTATAGCTTTTACCGAGGCTTTTTTCACACAAAATTTTGTACGGCCGTTTTTTTTTAGAATATATATTTTTCGGAAGAAATTCTCACCTCGACTTTACTTTTCTCTGGCTTTGTCCTTGAAAAAAATGAAATTCCATCTTGAGAATAACAATAAAAAAGAGACCTGTGCGGTGCATGGTATCATGTGGCTCCATAAAAGTTCCATAAGATGATGTTCCCGCATGTTTGACAGAATTTGCACTTCATTAGTAAGTCATAACTTATCCTATTGAGTTTATATTTGGGTGCCAAATAATGAATATGTTTGCTTTGTTAGTGACTCAAGTAGAATACCTCCCGGGTCAATTTAAAGTAGAAGGATAATTCTCTATAAGCAGGTACTGTACTATATATGACTCATCATATCAGAATTCCCAGGTAACATTTTGCTGTTACATTAAACTATCTTAGAACAAAATAATTTAATAGGAATCGTGCTAGTAAAAGAAAAAAAAAACTTATCGGGATAATACATGAAAAAACATATCAAGGCCTCATTCATTTTCCTGTGCAAAACAATTTCACTTTAAGATATAGGGATGATGTTTGCTGTGCATGTGTCGGTGTGGTCGTTTAGATATATTATAGGAAGAGACTTTTGAAATGATAAGTTGCAGGGCTTTTTTACTTGATCAGAATTAAAAAATGCCTCTTCTGGTAAAAAGTATAATCAGCACATTTGCCAGTGTTTATGTTGTCACATTATAAAATTTGCTTCTCTTAAGAGACCGAATGTTTTGGTAAGAGTAATCAAACTTGCTTGATGAATCCAAGCTGGAGATGTAAATTTTGCTGCCAAATTGGTACCAAACAGTCACAGTGCTTGCTGTGCTTTGCAGATGAGAAAAGGTGTTCTTGTGAAGTCTGTTGGTGTTGTTGATGCCTGTGCAGACACTGTATTTGAAGTGCTTTTAAACCTTGAGCGCCAGCGGAGATATGAGTAAGCTTCATAATTTTTCTGTATAGTGCCATTGCCTTATATATGGCTCAGCTCATCTATTATATCCGCAGGTGGGACCCATTCACTAGTGATCTGGAGTTGGTGGAATCTTATGATGGACACTATGATGTTGTTTATGGGACATATGATCCAAAATACCTCACCAGGTAAGGTAGATACAAGATAGACCTGTCTTCGTTTTCTTTATCACTGAGCGGTGTTATGGCGTTGTGATTCCAAAGATCTTATATCCCTATCATTTATTCATATTTGTGTTTAAGAACATGCAACTGGAGTGATACAATTGTCTTAATAATTAATTTTTGTGTTGCTGTTGAGGAAACGGTGTAGAAACTTATTTTAGATAAAATTCTCTGGACTGAGTGATTTATGACAATGTTCGCTTAATTCCTACCCTGTAATTCTTTAAATCTTATTTGATCAAAGGCTCATGTCCATACTTCTATTGTCTTTCCAGTTTGATCTTTCTGAAGTTTTAAATCTCAAACATAATCTTTTTGCCATTTTAAAATTAGAGTGTCCTGCTCTTACAGTTTATACCATGTCCGTGTTTCACATTTTACTAATTGATCAGCCAAGACTGAAAAGATCTTATATGTTTTGGTACTCCTGCAGCGATAAAAGAAACTTATGCCACATCGAGAAACTCCTTTCATACATCTAGTTCTTGGCTGTACATAGTACTGTGAAGTATATGTGTGCAAACATGTGCCTATTGTCAAATCGTTTTTCTGTTTTAACACTTGAAGAAGAATATATGTGCAGTGCTGAGCTAAAACAGTGAGCTGCTGGATTGAAAGATATAAACCTTTTGTTCATTTTTGGGTAGTTTCAGCCTGGATTTATGAAAATAAGTAACAGGACCTACACAGGAAGTGCCGTAAGATTGTGCAATGACGTCCTTACATGTGCTTGTGCTTGTGCTTGTGCATGTGCGGGCACTTCTGTGTTCTTGCATGTAAGAGAGACAGAGACTGTCCAATGTGGATGTCGTAGTCTACCAAAGTTCTGGTGGAAATTGACTAGCTCCATTCCGTCTAATATGCTTCTGTAATTGTCATTTGTTTCCTCAGTATTTAGTCTTATGGCACTCCCATCTATTGACTTGTTTAAGTTACTGTTAAATAGTGACGATGGTTTATAGTTGACTGTGTAGACTTTTGAGATCAGTGGAAATTAGCCATTGATTTCTTCCAGTGGAACAACTGTATAATTAAGAGCCTATGCGGCATTGGCTTCTTTTGTTTGAGTCTTTAGAACTTTTGCCTTGTCTTGTTCCTTATTTGGCTTTTGTTAATGGATGTTGCAATTATCTGGAATTCTCTGGTCGCGGTCTTTCATATAAGAACACAGAACTAGGAACAAGAATTTGCTAAGACTTGTATATCGCGCTTGAAGGGGACAGCTTTTGTTATTTGTTTGATAGCCGAAATGCAATATTTCAGTTTCTTTGTGTTTTGATCTATAGTTTTTGACTAGCTGCTAGTTATAGTTCTTGCCTATCAGATTCTAAGCAGGCTAAGTGGGAAACATAAGACGAAGTTTCATATTGTCTTGTGTAGTCAGGCAGATTGTTCCTCTGCTACTTTTACTTTCTTGTAATATTCAAAGAACATGATTACATGAATATAAACATTCACACACCAAGAAAGGACGATTGGCTGAAGTTTTCTGAAATTTGCTTGGTTTTTGGCAGCTGAGACAATATCTAATATCTCACAAGATTGCATAAAACAACCCTGCATACATTGAAAGTACAAATCAGTGTGTGGGTTTTCCCAAGACTAGCATGTTACTATCAAATTATTTGGTTTCATGGCAAGCATGGGTTAGGTTGAACCTCTGCTATATTCCTGGAGAAAATAATTTGGACGGAAAATTGTCAGAGTTCCTTTGGGCTTTTAGTGTTTAGTGTACAGAAAGCTGCTTGAGTAATATGATCCTTACTGACTTTGCAAAGAGGATATCATACAAAGCTGTAGCTGTATCTTCTGCATTCTTCATGGTTCATAAAATTTAGCAATTTTTGTTTATTGATTAATAGGTATTACCACTGGTGGTGGGGTCCTAGTTGGTCTCACGCTGATGTTCCCATCACCAAGTCATAGGGTTGAACCTTGCTTGCATCAGTAATCTATGATTTGGTTTGGTCAATGCTGAACATTCCATGACGGGTGTGGGACCCTTATGGTAACCCTCATGAGAGTAGTCACTGCTCGTCGCCCCTCTCCATCCTTCTTGGTTTAGCAAAAATGATTAATAGTTATTGCTTGAAAAAGTTAGATGGTTATAGATTTCCGTTCAGAAAAAGGGTTTGCTTCTTGTCCATCAGGTTGGAGGCATAGATAAGTCAAGATGCTAAAGTGGCCTCTTCCTGAGACTTATGTTCGAAGAGCAGATTAGGAGGAATGTAGGGTGTGCCATGGATATTGCTTATCCTCTTTGTGTATATATTCCTGCCCTTTAGTTGTTTGCAGTTGTTGATTTGTAACAAATTGCTTTCTTTGTAAAACACTTCAATGACTTCAAAGTTTTCTGGAATTTATTTGAATGTTCTTGACGTCTCACCTTCTTTGCATTGTAAAGTTGTATTTGATCTATTCCGTTCTTTCAGTTTTGCTTCTTCATTAGTCGCTTCATTAGCTTATATTCCGACGATAAATGTTTTTCAGGTGGCAGTCTAAGAGAGATTTTGTTTTCTCCAGACAGTGGTTCCATGCCCAAGATGGAACATATAGTAAGGGATATTCTTAAGATATGCTGGAATTTTTTTTTTTTTTTGCATCATATGTTGTGAATCTTATTATTGAATAAATGTCAAGTGAAATCTGCTCCTTATTTTGTGAATCCTTGGCCAATGTGTATAGAAGATTTTCTAGAAGTATTTCTATCACTAAAAGTTCAAAAGCAGTTATAGTAGACATAGATACTACTCGCATGGTACATGAAATATACTATATAATGGGAAACTCTATAGATTGCCATATGACAACAAAGTCCTATGTGCTATCTTTTTCAAGGTTTTGGCGGATGATTGGAGTTTTGAAGTTGTTTCCAATGAAGAATGCCTATGGAGAAAATGACAATTTTCGTCTCTATTTGTATTGCAAAGTCCGTTGGGTTAGAAATTACTTGATATTATTTTGTCTAACTAAAAATCAATGCACCGATTAGATATATAATAAAATTGATTTACACAACTGGATTTTAATTAGATTGTTGAGAGCTCAAAGCTGTTTGGCTCATATTTGATCACATCAGCGAAAATTAAGCAGTGCATATGCCATTTAAGAATATTATTTTTTTCTGAGATTGCTTCTCTTGCTTTGAACTTATTGTCTGAGCAACAGATGTACTTCATTTCTTTCTTTTTTAGCGAAAGCTGAAATTGCTTTCTAATTGAAGTTCCAAACCTTGTCCTATGCGGTTGTTTCCCAATATGAGGTTTCCACATAATGACACAACTAATTGGTGAAAGATATGACCACTTCAACAAGCACCTGTGCAGCCCTGTATAGCCACTAATAGTGCTTCTCATGCCTTATCAAATATGGATAGTCAACTAAGTATTTGATGCTGATTGTCTCCATATTTTCCTTAAAAGCAAGTCCTAAGGCATGGTATAAACACTTGAATGGAGATTTAATCATCACCTTGAGTTAAAAAAGAACAATACGCCTTTAGCTGCAAATGAGGAATATGCACCTTGAAACCAATTTAAACACTATCATCGAGATCCTCTGCTCTGCTCCATACATCATAGCCCCAAATACTATCAATTATATGACATTCAGGATTAAGCTATCCATAAAGTCACTTTCTTTTCCAGGCCGTAAATGATGTCCTCCTTGTCTAAGTGTCATCAATTTCATTGTCTGAACACATGAGAGGCATTCTTTTTTGGTCAAGTATATGAGACGTCTCCAGAATGTGCAAATTCAATGAAGTTTTAAGAGTTCATAAACCTCATAATGTGTTTCTTGTCACATAAAATCGTCAAAGCCATTTTGCTTCTTGCAAAAAATCTTGGGTTTTGAACCTTGTCCTGGTTACATTGCTTTATGTTGTGCCTTTATGCTTTCTGGGGAAGAACAAAATATCTCCTAATGCTAAGTAATCAGTGCTCTGCATTTCTGTTATAATTGCTTGGGGCAATTCGAGATGCTATGCTTGCATGCTAAATGTGGTTTTATGCTTGCAGCAATCCTGCAACTTCCAGTTGCCGATAAAAAGCGACCTCCAAAATCTGGATATCGGCGTACAACACTTAATCGTGAGATTTTGCTTCTCTGATTTCTTTGCTCCGTGTAACATCTAAAGCATTTTCAGTTCTCGTCTATTCTGAAATGATTATGTCCTAATTGTTATGTGTAAGCATGTAATTTCACAACAATATAGTTTGATAAAATGAATGCATAGGACATTGGTAGTCAATCTGCAGAATGCAACTTCTCCATGTGATCATTTCCAATGGCTATTCTTGATATTTAGAATTTCTCTTAGCCCATGTGGGGCATTTCTTATGATGAGTGGAGAAAATAGCATTAAGATAATGGTGATGGTGTATTTGCAATGATTTGAAAGGTAATATGTGTGCTAATGATGATGCACAGGATGTGAGGGTATCTGCAACAGACACATCAGTTGACGTGTTTTGCAATTAACCCCTAATCATGAGAACATGGTGTTCCATTCAAATTGTTTGAAGCCATCATTTCTATGGTACCCCTTGGAAAACATCTTTTGTGCATATGCTGAACATCTGGGGAGCAAGAAGTCGAGAGAGAAAGAGGCTAGCATGCCAGTTCCATCTGAAAGAGAGTGGTTTCAGCAAGATGCTGGGCTTTTTTTAATAAACTTCAGTAAGGAAGTGTCGGAAGTTTGACAATATATATCATGGTTTTGCTGTTATACCAAAATGCCAATAGGAGTAGGTGCGTTGAAATCATTGTTCCCAAAAATGATATTAGGTGTCAAATGGCTATGTTCTGGTTTTATTTGAGTGAGGACAGGAGGTTGGTATCTAGGACAGATGTTTAAGAGGGCAGATCAGCTGAGTCGAATAAGAAATTATCTATGTATTGAGAGTCAATCATGATGGCTTGCTGAAAACGGAAAGCCATCTTAAATTTTTAGTGAAAAATAAGGAAGAATGGTCATAAAGATGCTTGAATGATGCAACTAAAGATTTTTTGTGTTTCGAATCTCCAGTTGTTTCCGTGTTGTACTCTTTTAATCGGTTTTGGTCATTATGTTCTGATTCCGTATAGTTGTCTTCTGATGTTATATTTTTGTTTTTGTCCTTGTACGTTTCTGAAGTACTGAAACCGTTTGTTGTAAAAAGATCATTTATTATCATCAAATAAAGATGCTCTAATGAGAAAGTTGCATGAAGCCCATAGAACGTGGGAGCACAATTGTAGAAGAACAGAAAAAGCGAGGATTGCAGAAGAGTCTCTCATGAGTGAATTTGTTGGGCTGAATGAAGTGGGTCAATCTTTAAAGTTTATGTTAGAAATAGTTGGCCCGGTAACAAATTTAGTCCGAAACTAAAATGGTCAATCTTTTTCAGGATGGACAGTGAGCAGGAATTTTTATCCCAATGAGAGTCTCTGAGTTTGAAGCGGCTGTTAATAGCACTAATAAGTAGGATTAGCGTGTTAATTCTTGAACTCCCCTTAAGCTGAATCATAAGTAGGATTCCGAAAGTTTTCTCAGTTTCTACTGATTCCAAAGGTCATGCCTACAATAGAAAAGATCTGATGGAACCATACCTACGCAGTCAGCTGTCCTGATAGGATGAAGAATCATCAGGTCAATGGACCACAATTTTTTCTTAGATCAAGATATTGTTTACTTTCAGTAGGGGCTTGAAACAGTTTTTGGGTGGTCAATCTGCTTAGAAGTTAGGAAAGTTGATAAACTTTTGGCTTGGTCAATTTTTTCCCCGGATATGATAGTGTTTTTTGCACTTTGCAAGTTACCTTGGGATGTTAATAGAAACTTTTAGCTACAAAATGATGATTGTTTGATAATGGTGATGGGTTGGTGAGAAACTTGCCAGCTTTTTAATTATTTCTTCTGTCTTTAGTTGAGAATTTCATTCATAAACTCTAGGATTCCCGCAGGGCAAATATACTTTCTACTCACTGGTTGCTATGTCTTTTTTAATTCTGTAGCATCAACATGGGAAATCAGAAGTATAAATGCACCAATGGGTACAAATATAGCAAAATGTCTTGTGACACAAACATTGGAGATATATGAAGTAGGATGGACGAGATGGAAGAACAATCATTGCTCAAAGTTTGAGAAGACTATACCCTATGCTTTAATGTGCCAGGTGTCAGGTGCAGTATTCTATTCTCTTCCTTTTCCTCTTTTACTGGAAATGCTGCAATGCATTCATATTTCACTTTCTAATTACATGCACAACTGTGTGGTCCATGGTCAATTTTTATCACTTGAATTCAAGTTAATTACCTGAAATTTTCTTTTAAGCTTCAAGTAGTCCAATTATTGTCCCCAAGGCTATGAGAGTTGTTCCACTACAAGATTTCCTTGTTATATTTTAGTCCTAGATACCTAATAGGACAACATAGTCAGTCAAACAAGACCATTATAGCCCTTGACTCCTCTTGCATACCTGTATTTGATTTGACCTATTTGCAACTTTAATGTTTACCGGAGCTTTGATCTTTCCTCCAATTTAGAATGTTTTTGTATTCTTGAGAAACTTGTCCCCATAGCTACCTCTTTTCCTTTTATGCACGAAACTCAGAGGCACTTTCATCAAAGTTCTATTATCTGTGTTGTAAATTAATGCTTTGAAGCTAACGGATCTTACAAAGTCAACTGTGAGAGAAGGAAATTACTAGAAAAATCAAGGACCAATAAAAAACATTAGAGATTTACGTGGTTTGGTGTTAGTGTCAATAACTACTCCACTAAGAGAGCCAGCTGCAAAGAATCTTCTTATCAGTTGGAGAATTACAGAGGCTGTGTTCTGTAATTAGCCATTCATGTATATGTATGGTGAGATATGGAGATGAGCAAAGCAACTTTTTGGGATAAGAGGACTGACATATTCAGAGGATAAGAGTCAGACTTCACATGTTGGGAAGCATTAGAAAACATAAACTGCCATTTATGTGTGGCCTTGAAGAAAGAAATTTTCTTTTTTCTTTCTCACAGAGTTGGTAAAATTATTTGACCAACTTAGACGACTTCTAGTAAATGCCACACATCCAAAATCATTCGTATATTACGGACAGATCTACATCCTCCAATTTGGGTAGGGTTTCGTACACGGGCTCAAAATCAAGACATAATTTAACAATCTGTACATTTGTTTGTTTGAACATTTGTTATCGTTTAGCGAATTTATATTTCTTAGTTCATTTGTTTCCAGGTCTGAAGGAATATATAGAAGCAAATCCATCACTAAAGGTGCAGTCTTCTATGGCAGTCGTTCAATCAAAAGTTTCTGATGTTTCGATTTCCAATAGCGAGTATGAGGAGAAAGACGTGCGGGATGAGTTCTATGATGCAATTTCGGCTGATTCATCATCAGAAGAGGAAGAGAGTGATGATGAAGAACCTAATCATAAGGTTTGGTCATTTACTTTGACACGATTTTGTTAGATTTTAGTTAAGACTTTGTGGATTATCAGATTCCAATTATTTCAAGAAGAGCGTGAACTGAATCCTGATTGTGAAATTTTATTTGTAGGCAAAAGTGAGGCTGAAGAATGTCTCCTGGGCCATTGCAAGCTTGGCTTTGAAGAAAAGCTCGGGTTAGATGTTTATTGAATTTTGTCCAAATATACATGAGTAGGATGATCGTGTAATGGTAATTGGTAGTCGTTCTTATGCTTATTTACTCGTAATGTTAACTATGAAATATCAGAATGCACATCTTTGTTGGTTTGCTCTCTCCCACAAGATATGTCACCATATAGAGAGCAATATTCATACTATTCGATCTGCTATTGTGTCACGCTTAAAATAAAATGTAGAATTTGAGTGTCTGCTGAATTAACTAACTTTATTCTTGATGTTTTGATTGCTTCTGGAGAACTGAGTCCTCAATGGATTTATAACAATTCATATCTTTTGTAATTTAAGGAATGTCTAGCATTATAAAGCAATAAGGTGTAAGGTGTCCATGACAAAATATGTCTAAAACAAGAGTGAAAGCTCCTAAAAGATAAAACACAATCAATGCATCCTGAGATTAAGAAAGAGTATCAATTCTTCCAACTAAGGTCAAAGATGCAAAGTGATATGTTCTTTAGTCTTGGTTATGCTACATCTAATGAATACCATTAAGTTGAATGAGCTATTACATCTAAATTTACAGTGACTATTGGTCATGAGGTACCACAAGTGTATGGTTCCGTAAGTAGAGGTTCCTAGTAAAACTTTTTTACTGAATTTTCTATTTTCACTTGCAGCTTAATAAATACTATACTTTTGTCTTCTATCGGTCTTTCATTATAGATGGTGTTGTACCCAGTATTGAAGCACTTGACCATTTGGATGTAGTTATAGGCACAAATAAGGATTTAGACCACAATGTAACTCCTGCCACTATTGATCCGAGCAATTTTCCTGGTTCCCTGCGCAAGGGTAAGGACGATTCTGATACAAACTGTTGGGCATCTCCGAGTGGTGCTGGCTTCATGATCAGAGGAAAGAACTACCTTAAAGATAACACTAAGGTGTGTGTTGCTCTGCTAGAGCATCTTATGTTGAGCACAAACCACATCTTTAAACATCTGATGCTTTAAAATCCCAGATGCAATTGGATCTTGTTATTTCTCTGAACTACCTTCTCATATGATGTATTTGCTTTTTGCAAAAATAGTTCAATGTAGATAAGCCAATATGAATCTTCTGTCCAACCTAGATATCTGCTGAAATATTAGTGTTTTTAAAAGTACACAGCTTCTCATTCATAGCAGTTATTCTCTTTCTTCCATTTCCTTTCCTTAGCTTGGTACAAAGTGTTGGCATTAGAAGATTATGGTTCAAGTGGATCTTTTATTCTTCAAGTTTTGTTTTGTTTTAATTTAATAAACAAAAATAGCTTCATTTAAGAGCACAAAGGAGGGCAACCTATTGAGATTTAAATACAGGTAGAAAGACCAAAACGATAAAGAAAAGAGCGTAATGACTTGCCATCACAAATAGTTATACCCACTGGATCATTATTTATGAATAAACTTAATTTGGCATTTAATTTACTTTCATTATATTTAGGAAATGCCAGGAAACTGAAGTTCCATTTTAAAGATTGGCTTTCTCAGCTGCCGGTGAAGGGTTTACGTTTAGCAGTGTTTTTCAGGTGATAGGGGGTGACCCACTTCTCAAGCTCTTAGCAGTTGATTGGCTCAAAGTGGATGAAAAGATTGATAGGATTGCCCTGCATCCTAATTGTCTTGTTCAGGTATTTACACATTGTCTTCTTTAGCCATTTAATACTCTAATTTCGAGTGAAACGGAGCATAAAGCTTCATGTATGTAGGTGATAAATGCTAGTATTTGGTAAGATTTTGCTCGAGCTGGACACTTTGGTGCAATCACCTCTGGTGGTTGGGATTGGTACAAAGTAGATTTCCTTTGACTTTGAAAGTCACTGTGCATGAAGAGCTGAAAAAAGGAAGTAAAAGGAAGAAAGTGCAGTGGAGAAAATTAAGGCAAACTGGAACAAATTTAATAAATGAGCAGTATAATACAAGTTGTGGAAATAAATGAGCCATTTACTGTAAGCTAACTATACGCGAGCAGGCCTTTTTTTTTTTGTTTATTTGAGAAATTTTGCTCGGGGGCATTGGTTGGACATTTCCACGTTCACCTTCATCTGTTTCATCAGGAGTCATTCTGACATATTGCTATAACCTTTTTGTCTGGTAGCCAGCAAGCTGTACTAAAATCCATCTCATAACTGACAAATGATAACATGTTTTGCCCGCTTCTTTGGCTCAAGTAGCTACTAGAATGCTCAGTAGCACCATGCATGAAATATACAGGGTTGAAATTTCTTTGCTGCTATCCTCTTTATCACTATCACTTGCATTATACTTGCTCTTAAATCTAGGATATAAACACTGGTTAAGATTTCACTGATATTTCTGGCACTATGCTTAAGCCAAGGAAGTTCATCTAACCTGTGTCTGTTGGTAGAGACGTTAAGAAACCTCCATATCGTTCAACTGTAATTTTGTCTGATCACAGCAAGGAAAACTTATCCACAGCAGAAAAATCAATGATGAATTGGACTTCTTTAATACTTTTGAATGATTAGAGTGACTGATAAAGGTTTCTCTGTCTATTCAGTCAGAAGCTGGTAAAAAGCTTCCTTTCATCCTTGTCATTAATCTCCAGGTATGTCTGTGTTCTTTCATCTTCCTACACTATATATTATACTAAAGGCGAATGGAATACCCATAGACTGATTGTCCATACATATTGATTAAAAGTTGACATTGCCATATCCTTCAAGTAATTTTTTCCCGTTAAAATTGAAGCAAGCATGTATTAGGAGAACCAACATTATTTTGCGGTAGATTTGTAATTGTTATATTCTCTAGAAGTGTCAAGTCTCAAATAAATTGCATGAACTATTTTGTTTAAGTGAACAAAGACATGCTTATGTGGTTTGTATATGCTGATACCATCAGGCTGTTTTCTTTTATTTTGTTTCTCCTATTGATTTTAAGGAATGAATTCTCTCATACATTCAGATACATTTTGAAGGCCTCTGTTTTGCTGTTCTTGTCAGATTCCAGCGAGACCAAATTATAGCTTGGTTACTTACTATGCTAGTGATAGGCCTGTAAAGAAGGATTCTTTATTGGGTAACTTTGTGGATGGAAGTGATGCTTTCAGGGACTCCAGATTTAAGTTGATTCCAAGTATTGTTGAGGTAGAAACACTTGAATAGAATGCTATGGGATTGCTTTGTTTAAAGGATAATTCCTTTTGTGCTGAGCTTAGTCACTTCAACACGTGTAGGGATATTGGATGGTCAAGCGTGCGGTGGGCACGAAAGCTTGTCTATTGGGGAAAGCTGTTACATGCAAGTATCTCAGACAGGACAACTTTTTGGAAGTAAGTATTTGGATCTTTTTTTTTGGCCATCCTTGGTAAAATTATCGATGAGTTGACGTCAGTACAAACTGTTGACTGTTGCATCCTTAAGGTATAGATGTCACTGTCAAGGGCAACCATTGGAGTACCAACCCTTTCACAATTTATAAATTAATCATCACCTGCAGCTACTTAACTTGAAAGAAAAAATTATGAAACCATATGTTCTTTCAAAAAGAAAGAGTAATTCTAACCCCCTCTGAGCTCTCCTGTTCGTCCCTTTCCATGCTTTCCAAAATTATAAAAAGTGGTTTTTGTATCTTGCTTTAGCGGGATCTAGAGTTACTGGAAATATCACTGAAATGAGAGGGGTTTCTCTCTTATTAATATCAATTAAATTCTAGGTATATGAAATTGTACTAGTAAACGTAAGATTTAGGCAAATCTCTGCAGTGCAACGCAGTTTTGATGTTCCTTTACCGGAGGAGGAATATCTCAGCCGTAGGGTCAAGAGGATTTTGCAGTGGTGAGTTAACTTTATGGTAAACAGTGGTGTTTCAGAAATCGAAACAGAACCTATCAGTCATCAAATTAAAACATATAGCCAGATATCAAGCCCTGTTAACTATTTTTACACTGGCATGCAACCTTGTTTTGGTCCGACGAAATGTCAGCATTGTTAGAAAGTCCAACCCAAAAGCTTAAGCTATTAGGTGGAGGGAGACCACATGAATATAAAGAGCATTTAGGACCCGTTGTCAATCGATGTGGGATCATTCTTCAATACCCCAACTCACGTGCAAGCCGGATTACGAGCAGCACGTGAAATTTTGACATCGCACATTCACATGGAATTTTTGCCACGCACATTTGCGAAAGGGATAACATTGGCTCTGATACCATGAGAGATTTTGTGGGACCATAGCCAACTATTCTAAAAGCTTAAGCTATTAAATGAAGGTGCAGTTTAATATTTAATTATTCTAACACTCTCCCTCATGCTTAGTCTGGTATTTTTGCCTAGTACTAATCGTGGATATATTTAATTGGAGAGGCAAATGGGGTTTGGACAGATTTAAACTTAGGACCTCCAGCTCTGATACTAGTGTTGGGTGGCCTTGGGCCTTTCTCACCCCAAAAGCTAGCTCAAAGGATGAGGCTTTTCGTCACACTTATAAACTGACCATCAGGCTCTTCCACAACCGATGTGGGACATCCTCAACAATCTCTCCTTCACACATCGGGCTCGGATCGGAGCCGCAACTACCCGTAACTCTTCCATGTAACTGTTGGGTCTAGACTTGTTGACAACTTAGGCTCTGATACCTTGTAAGAAAGTCAAATCCAAAAGCTTAAGCTATTAAGTGGAGGGAGACCATGTGAATATAAAGAGCATTTAGGACCCGTTGTCAATCGATGTTGGATAATTCTTCAATAAGCATCAATGTGTTACCTGCTTGATTTCTTCGTCGTGTTCTCCTATTAGAGAACACATAGGAAGGCCTCTTGTGCATATTTGTGAGGCTCATTATGGGGTCCTTTAATGGAGCAGTAGATCGCACAAGTTCTATCTACTATTGCAATTCATTAATTAGAAAGTATGATGCACGTTAGTAGTCTATTGATGTTGTGAACTTAATGTCCATATCACATTCTTTTTAATTTTTTTATTGGATTTGCTGTATAGAGTCTCATTCCTTGACAAGCAAATTTCCTATATGCAGATTGATGTGGATATTGGATCATCTTCTGTAGCAAGAAGTGTCATTGGTCTTGTACTCGGATACGTCACTAGCATAGTTGTTGATCTCGCAATTTTGGTAGAGGTTTGTATATTGGATAAATAGCTGCTCATTCTTATCTGTTTCTGAGAAGCTGTTCCATTGATTTGGATGTCTATTGACAAGTTAATTTCTTGTTGAGTTTGAGATGCAAATGGGTAGTTTTCTTTTTATTCAAGCATAGCTGCTGGTAGGATTTGTAGTCATGTTACGGGGGAGGTGTTTGGACTTCACTTATCATAGTGTTCTATCATGCAACTGAGTATTTACGTAGTATTATAATCTTTTTCATGCTTCATTGTTGATAGGCTAGTTAGTATCACAATGTCTGCGTAGCATGTTGGAGGGTTTTTCTTTTCTTTTCTTTTTTGGTGAAGAGGGGGGAGAGGGGTGGGGTGGTTGGGGTCTCCACTTGCCTTTGCTCAGGAAAGATTAGTTACAGAGTTTTCCAGACAATTATTAGGTTTATGCACTATCATTCGATCTGTTAGCTCATTAATTGGTTCGTGATCCAATAGAGAATAGATGAGTTTGTTCTTTGCTGGATTCCTATTCTGGTTAATGATTCTTGCCGACAAATTGAAATCTCTTTTTTGGATAGTGTCTTACTGTCCATGTCTATCAACTTCGTTGTTTTCCTGATTACAAGCTGTCCATCTTGATAAATTTTTATCTTGGTGGTCGACTCAATTTAAGTTGGAACAAGGACGGGATCTGTAGGAATGAGTTTAGATAGCGTCCTTTCATTAACATGCTGGTTGTGTGGAGGGTAGACTAGACGATAGAGTTCTATGGTGAGAACCTTTTGAGGGTAGAAACTATTTCTAGCACACTGGTTAAGTTTGACAAGTACCATCATATTTTGGTGGGTTTATTCTGGTTTTTAGCGAAATACTATGTTTATTCAGGCTAAATTTATGTTTGTGTAGTGTTCTTGATTAATAGTAGCTACTTTCTTTGCAGGCCAAGGAAGAGAGTGAGTTGCCTGAGTACATTCTTGGGACTGTCCGGCTAAATCGTCTGACACCCGACTCAGCTTTACACTTTGGAGCTTGAGGATTCCATATATGTATCTTTGGGAATTTATGAGGACCTTAGGCCAGCACATGAGGGAACAACCGTGAGATTCACCACGATAAGATGTTCGTCGAATTGGTTCAATGCCAAAATCTTGTCTTGTACTCATACGAAGTTGGTAAATACTATTAGGCGGCTCCAAGTTATTCATTGCCAGTCCTTCTCATTGCGAAGTGCACTTTGGTAGCAAACCACCGTCTTACTTGCTGAATTGAGGAACATTTGGAGATGGTGGTGGGCGGAGACTAAAAGTGCGTTTTGTGTTTGCCAATGAAGGTATTAACGTGTGTTTATCAGAGCATGTTAGAAGAAAGGGAAGAAACATTTGATTTGCAAGACATTGGGACTAACTGTTCAGAAATTGAAAGGTGCGCGCCTTGGTCACCCTTGTGATCCTTGGTAGCTTTCTAGTTTCCAATACCATAGAAGACACTCCATCCATGCCCTTTATGGCCTGCACAAATTGTTGATGACTGTCTTGTTAGACTAACGGAGATGTGAAAGTAGAGAGAAACACACTCAGTAATACATTTAAGTAACAAAGTGGAAATTCTACTACCGTTTGAAAAATTTCTTCAGACTTTTAATTTTATTTATCGAACTATTTGCAATGTTAAATATAGTCCTTCCATTAATTCAAGTGACTATATTGAATATTTTATATAGTTGAACAATTTAAAAAAACCGACCAATTGAATTATGTTAAAGTGCAACTAAAAGAACCAATACCCAAAATTTTTCGACCCATGCATTGAAATAGCTTCCTCAATTGAATTAGTAAAAAACCGATACAACTAAAAGAACCAAACCCAAAATCGACCCATCATTGCTTCCAGTTCTCCTTAGTCGACGAGAAAATGTTTATGCTGACTTTCATTTATACATTAAACTAGTCTTCAACCCGGGTGATGCCCGGTTGCAATAAGCATGTTATGATTATAAATTGTTGGAGTATTCAATATGCATAATTATTCTGTTAGTAGAACTTTCTTGGGATGTAATTCTTGTAGTAGTAGTGTTTGGATTGATTAGCAAAAAATGGAGAAGATACATGATCACTTAAAATTGAGATATCTCGGTTAAAGGGCACAATATGCAGAGTGACTTGTGAACTTTCAAGTGATCTTGGTAGGTGCATAGCTCAATAGTAACCAGATTCATCAATTAACAAAAGAAGAGGAAGTAAGAAAGTTGCTAGTGTTTGTATCAAATGACCAAGAATGAAGCATTGGGTTAACAATCTATACAAATCAAAGAAAGGCCAAGAATCAAGATTAAGCGCAAATCAACTTGGAAGGAAAATGGACAAAAAGGGGTGCAAATCAACTTGGAAAGAAAATGGACAAAAACGGCTAATAAAACTGATTTTTGACTCGCATTTTTTTGGATCAAATTATAGATGGATGTCTTAATTTTTATGGTTAATATCACGAAAAATTCCAAACCGGTACACATTTAACAAACTTATCACAAACTAATTTTTTGACCACCAAAAACCCCAACAAATTTACCATAGTTTCCATTAAATTATATTAATATCACGAAAAATCACAAATTAGCAATAAAACGGAGGGTAAAACTCCAAACCAGTGCATCCGCCAATTGCCACGTGTTATCCAATTAAGCAATTTGATGATAAAATTTAACGGAAACTAACGGAGGGTAAATTTTTCATAGGAGGTGTACCGGTTTGGAATTTTTGATTTTGGGTATTTTTGTCACGAGTATATACCGATTTGGGATTTTTCATTATATTAATCCTAATTTTTTTATAAGATTCTGTGTTAATGGGCTTCCGCAGAATCCACTGTCGGCCCATGTACTTTCTTGCAGGCCCGGTTCTTCTTCTTGCGTCGCACGCACGTGCGCTCGGTTCCCTCTCGGAGTTCGCGCCAATTTCTTCCATCGAACCCGTCTTTCTTCCCCTCGCTCCGGAAGAAGAAGAGGAAGGCGTTTCTCTGCGGGTGCGTGCGTGTGGAGGTGCTGCTCGCGTCGCTTCGCCCTCCACCGAGCTCGGGACTGTGTACAGGTTTTCTTCTCGCCTTCCCCCGCGTATGTTGTCTAGTGGGTCGTCCTCTTTTTGGCTCACCCCGATGGTCCCAAGGTCCTGCTTCCGACTCTCGTCGCGGCGTGGTCAACGGTCTCGTCATTTGCGCGTTAACTGCACCGATGATCATTTCCGCTGTCTAAGTCCCCGTGTCGTTTCTTGCGTTGGGTTGGCCTGAGTTTGTGAGCTGCGAGAGAGAGAAAGAGCTTCGTGATGTGTGGTGAAAGTATCGTTCATTCGACTAGTGTCGTGCTTTCTGTTTGATGGAATTTTACCGTGCGATATTCTCCATTTTGTCGCGTTCAGTTCCATTACAGTGCTAGAGAGAGAGAATCGTGGGGTGCGTAAAGTGAGGGCGAATTAAGATGAGTCCGATTTGCTGCAGAATGTGCCCTTTTCTTAGGAATTAAGATGAGACCGATTTGCAAAAATGTATGGTGATTGTGTATAGCTACGTATGTAGCACTGCACATGCTTAGATCTACTTGGGCATATCATGATTGCCATCCCTGTAAGTGGAAACCCCCCACACTTAGCCGTGCTTGGGCCTGTTGACCATCATATGGTCTTCATGATTTTTGTGTTTCCTTTGGCATTTTCTAGCTAGTTTGCTTTTCCTGAGGCGTTTAAAAGACTAGTCTTGATGGAGTTCCAGAGACATCTTTTATTTGAGTGAAGCAGTTAACCAACTTTCGCTTTTAACTACAGTCGTTCGCCACTTCAAATTGCAGACGGAAAATCCTCATCTGGAGATATATATTAAGCCAATTGTGATATTTAAGGGAGAGACTTGGTGGAGATCCACATTGTAATTAGAGGTTGTATGGCAGCTAGATATCGGAAGAGAAAACTTCTGTCATAAAGATAGTTGGAGATCCACGTAAATGCAATAGTGATTGTTACATGGCTTGTTCGTGAGTACATGCTTAAGATAAGAGCCAGACTCATTTACTCAGGTGCAGATATGCAGGTAGGTGCAGGAGAAAGTTTTGCCCTGACCCTTGATCAAAAAGAACATTACAGAGCCATATGGAAAGTTCATAGTCATATGAAGGAACCAATGGAGGAGCAATATGAGACGCTAAGATCTTATTTGGAGGAGCTCAAGAGAGTTAGTGAGTATGGAACATTTAGAATGGAAGTCAACCCAGCAACCAAAGAATTTGAGAGGTTTTATGTAGGGTTTGATGAGTTGAGAAGGGGGTTTTTAGCAGGATGTAAGCGTGTCATAGGATTGGATGGATGCTTCCTTAAGACTGGATCGAAAGGTATGTTGTTGTGTGCTGTTGGACAAGATGGAAACAATCAAATGTTTCCAATTGTTTGGGCAGTTGTGGACACTGAGTCTGAGGCATCTTGGAGTTGGTTTCTCACCCTATTATTCACTGACCTGAGGGTGGGCAGAGGTGAGGATTGGACTTTCATCAGTGACCTGCAAAAGGTAATGTCTCACTTTTTGTCTTTAAAAGTTATTACACTGCACTAATGCAATCATTTGATGTGATTTGTATGTTTTTTATTGGCCGATTTTGGTTGTAGGGACTAATGAATGCAATTTCAAGGCTAACTCCACTTGCAGAGCATCGAAATTGTGCAATGCACATATTTGCTAAATGGGAAAAATTGTACAAAGGGGATTCTCTTAAGAATCTCTTTTTGAGAGCTGTGAGGTGTACATTTGAAGCTGATTTTGACCTAACAATGGCGGATTTGAAGATGGAGTGCCCTGAAGGTTATGAAGACTTCATGAGGCAAGGTCCTAAGCACTTCTGTAGGGCTTTCATCAAGACAGGTACCAATTGTGATTTGGTTGCTAATAACTTATGTAAGACCTTCAATGGGTGCTTTTGGCTACCAAGAGAAAGACCCATACTTGAGATGCTTGAAGGGATAAGAATTAAGTTGATGAAGAGGATGTTAGAGAGAAGTCAGTTAATGGTTGATCAAACAGATCCAATTTGCCCAAGGATTAGAATGGAGTTGGAGAAGACTAAATTGGAGTCCAGGAATTGTATTGCTAGAGCAGCTATGGGGAATAAATTTGAGGTTGAACTGGATGATGATAGATTTGTGGTTGACTTGGCTGGGAAAACCTGTGCTTGTAGGGAATGGGGTATCTCTGGAATACCATGTAGACATGCCATATGTTGCATTACTCTCATGAAGTTAGATATCGATGATTATGTCGATGACTGCTTTAAGAAAGATGCTTATGAAAGATGTTACCAATTTCCCTTCCCAGCCATGAATGGAAAAAAAATGTGGCCCAAAGTCAATGGTGAGCCAATTAAACCCCCACCTTACAGAAGGAAAAGGGTAATATCTCTGTCTAATGTTTTATATGTGTATCGAAAGGAAAAACAAGTTGGTATGTTGATTTTTTTTAACTGCAGATGCCTACCGGTGATAGAGTTATTGACGTTGGAGGTCCATCCAACTCCAAGAGACAAACAAGATTGAGGACTGTTCAAATTTCACCAAGCCAGGCTTCAATTGATACCACAGAATCTCCATGCACGGAAGAATCTGGAATTGATGGTGGACTGTGAAGTTGTGGACCGGAAAATACTAGTGGATGTTCAATGCCTGTTGTTAGATGAGGATGTTCAGTTGTAGACTGAAAACGGCTAGTTTTTATGTTGTTTGTAAGTGGATTTGACTGTGTACTATGTGCTTGGGGATTTGGCAATGTAGTTTAGCATTTGGGATGTTTTGGCAGTGTACCCTGTGTTGAGTTGTGCCTGCTGTGTTGGGAAGGTTTGTTGTTTTGGGATGTTTGTCTTTTGCATGAAACGATGTGGATCAGTTTAAGTTTGTCTAATGCTATTTAGTCTGCTTTGCATTCTTTTGAGTGGTGCCTACAGTGATGTGCTGACTTGTGCCTCCTGTGCTGTGCTGTGCGCTCTCTAACCACAGTTTTTGTGTTGTGCTGATATTCCTCGTTGACGGGATAAATCTTGTGCTATTATACCTTTTTTTGTGTTTCAAAGAGCTTCATGGCTATCTCTCTCTGTCTAACAAGTCCATATGTAACAGAACTGTGTTGTGTGCTTCTGTGCTGTGTCATGTTGTGCTTTGCTCAGCACAGAATCTGTGTTGTGCGATCTCTGAGCCCAGAAATTGTGCCGTGCTGATATTCCTTTCCTTGTTGATAGGATAATTTTTGTGTTGATATTACTTCTTTTGTTTTTCTAAAGAGCTGCATGGCTCTCTCTCTCTCTCTCTCTCTCTCTCTCTCTCATCAACAAGGAATACAACTCAAAGAGGCCTTTCACCAACATTAGAAACAAGTAATTCGAAAACCCCAGCCCATACAGCCAAAGCTTCAGCCTTCTTTGCACTTCCAGCCTACTAGCTGTGGCCAACCCTTGCTACGAAATGTCCTACATCATCTTTAAAATAGCCTCATTTCAGCCAAAGCTTCTGTCTAATTTGGTCTTGTTTATGTCATCTCAACAAGACCAAGGACAAGAACAATAATAAACACTGAAGAAGCAGAAGACCTACCCAATTTCATCTCCATCTCATCTCAAGTCTCGAGCTTTCCTTCGATGTTACAAAATTCAGAATTACAGCAAGCAATGTTGCACCCTCGTATGAACCTTACACCTCATTAACACAATCAAAGCTCCTATCTATACAAGTATAACTCTGACATATGTCTTGTCCTTCACTTGCATCCTTGCAATTTCATTCTGTAAGCGATTGTTCGATTGATTCTCCACAATTTTGCAGCCTCACCTTCCAGGTCTCATTATCATTCATCAGTTGGAAGATCACTTCTTTCTCTTGCATTGTCAGCTCATGTTCAATCAATTGAAAAAAAAAAAAATCCTCACTATCGTCAACCTATCAAAACAAAATAATAGATGTTTCAACAGGTTTAGAATCGCAACATTGTTCAAAATTGCTAAAGTTGATGATAATATTCATCATATGAGAGGGTAGATTACAGAATGATGATTGTCACATGGCTGTTAGTTATAATTAGTAGTAAGAAAATTACTTTGTGGTGGTTTACTTTAGGTCGATTTCCTATTATACCATTGTAACGTGAGTGGCATAAGTTGTAAGAGCATATTTAAGCTCATCTCTTTTGGTATTTTCCTTAACAAATGACATACAGAACAATATTCTCTCTCAACTCACTATCTCTTCTTCTTCGTCTCATCTGTTCTCTTCTTATCTAAATCTTAATCCTTCTTGTCAACCTCAGTTCTCTTCTCATCTCCCTCTATATTTTCTTAGTTCACTACATGTACTTCAGGTATGGAAACTGAGTGTTAAACTTGAAAGCTCCACATACATATGAATGCCTCATGACTATTGCCTGCATGACTACATCAAAAAGGTTATGATGCCCTACAAACAACCTTAGCAATTTTTTTTCCAGGGTCAAAGTTCTAAGCCTTGACACCGCTCTTGGAAGTTCAAATACCCAAATGCCCGGAAGTCACTACTTACCCTCCATGTTGATGATACATTGCTTATCCAGAAGTCATTAAAAACAACAAATTGTAAAAATTTCAAGATGATGACTGATGATAAATTACTTACCCTCCATGTTTTACAGCGGAAGAACCTCCTTGCAGGATTTCTTGGGGTCCAGTTGAGGTGTAAAGGGTTGCTCATCGCTGATGCTTGCATGAAACGTTGCAATCGTCGCTCGTGAATCAACTTAATGGTCTGTCCCCTCCGTTAGAAAGAGACGACATTCTGCATTGATTTGCTTTTGTTTGACTCTCACACATATATATTTTAAATCAACTTCATGGTGTGGGACTGGTTTAAAGTAGTTTGTGTTTGATTGGATTGTAATTGATAATTGAAGATCACTGTCACTTCACATGCTAAGTTGTAATATAGTTTCAGGTAGCACATTGATCTCAGAACTGGTTTTCGTAGATGAACATTACATAGATGAACCAGTGTGAATGGGCAGCCTTTGTTGTTTTACACACGTCGTTATGGCCATGACTATTCTCTAATTATCAGTTCAAGCAATATTTCATAAGGGGAAAAGAAAGCATGACAACCCCAGCAGCACACTGGAAATTCTACTCGTAAGAAAATTATGAGAGCATAAAGGATTTCTTCTTCCATGCAGAACATACTTGCAGTGACAACTGACAACAGCATTTTCAAAAACTTTCAGTCTTTCATGTTATTTCTCAGATTATGATAATTCCATGACGAGTGGTTACATGCTTGACCAGCTTCTGCGTTGCGCCGTAGCTAGACTTTTGAGGTGCTGATAAGTTGAGTTAACTGACATTTCGCCATTTTCTTTTTCTATAAATAAGGCCACACAGATATCACAAGTATTTTCAAGTAATCAGTGACTCGGTGGTTGATTGGAGGTTGGGACATTAATGCTGAAATTTATCTTGCCATAGTTTCTCCGGATCCCCAGTTGTGTCAATGTCATAATCAACTTCGTTGTTTCATGACGTAGAACATTAATGTAAAAGCTCATAGATGTTACCTCATATGATCTATGGCTCGTTCACAGATGGTCCAAACAGATTTCTGCATTTCCAAATGTGAAATACAACAAATCTCTGGCAACAAGAAATCTTAAGCTCCTAGCATTCTAATACAAAAGGTACCCAAATAAATGAAAATGAAAAAAAAATTGCAGAAGAAAACAAAACCTTTCTTCTGTCTCCTTTCTTCTTCTCTCCCTACATTTCACAACAAAACTTGAACCTCCTTTGTTTAAGACATCAACTTAATAAATTAAACTGTGTAGTGTTGTTGAATGGTTTCAATGTCCAACCCCTTCAACTTCACCACTGAGTCAACATGTCCCTTGAGTGTGTGGAGCTCTCTTAGCCTGTCAAAAATTTCCAACAAGAAAATAAGTTGGAAAAAATGAGTTGATTTGGCTTTAGGCCATTCATAACTTGATTTAAGAGACAAATGAAGCTTGTCACCTCGCGACTTCGGCACGTCTCTTGGCCTGCTCGGCAATCTCGGACAACTCCCGGTAGCTGCTCTTGTCGTTGAACAGTGCCTGTGGGGGCTGAAGACCGTGGAGCGTCCTCTCAGCCAAAGCCCATTGCGCCTCCCTCTCGCCCTTGCCATAATCCTTCTTGGTTGTGAACGCGGTCTATCAATATTAGTAGTTAAAATAGCATTATTATAGTGAGCTATAAAAGCAAAAGAAGGAAAACATGCATTTTCTTTTAAGGAATTGATATTAAAAAGATGATGAGAGAACCTTGCTCTGGTACAGATTGTCCCAAGCCTTGCCGCTCAACGCATAGCGAATACAGAACTTGATGACGTCGAGTGGGAAGTACGTGATGATGCTGAAGATCCAGATCACTCCGGCCCAACCCCATCCGATGCCTTGAACCCTAGCAAAGCCCCAGGTTGCGTACACGGCAATGAGTGTTGCCACCTTAACAAGAAATCATAACATGAGCCGGGATATTTGGCAGATGATTAAGTGTGTGCAGAGAATCGGAAGCATGAAAGTTACGTACCAATTGTGCAGCGATGAAGGCACCAACAAGCAAGAGTCCAGGGCGCTCGACAAAGGACCAGCTTCGTGATCGGGTTACAAAGATGAGTGCCTGACTAATGATGCTGACTTGGAGATAAAGGGCCGCAGTTAGCTCATCTTCACTTCCTTTGATCGGCCTCACCCCGAAAGTATCCTGCAAAAATAATAGTATGAGTATACTTCCTTTGCGATGTGTATTATCATAAAATTGACTTTGGCTTACGGGGAAGAAGTTGGTATCATGCGCAAGCCAGAAGAAGAGCACTGTCATTAGAGCAAGATAGGTTCCGAGAACAATGCCGGTGGCAAAGATCTCCTTGAGCTTCCACGAGTCAGGGACCGGAGAAGGTTTCACTCTGTCCTTAGAGATGGTCATGATGGTCCCGTCGTTTAGGATGGCAATGATGAGAACCATGAAAGGCGAAAAATCGAACTTCCAAATTAGAGCCACGAGCAGGAAACCCAGCACGATACGGATTGTGATGGAGACGGCGTAGATGGTGTAGTTCTTCATCCTTTGGAATATGGCCCTGCTTGTCAACACGGCACTTACTATTACACTCAGTCCCGGCTCCGTCAAGACAATGTCCGATGCACTTCGAGCTGCATCAGTCGCATCTGCCACCGCAATGCCGATATCTGCTTTTTTAAGTGCGGGCGCGTCATTGACACCATCTCCTGTCATTCCACAAATGTGCTTCATCTCCTGGAGCTTCTTAACAATTTCATACTTGTGCTCTGCATGTTCAACATATGTATTAGTCTACCTTGTACTTAAAAGGGGGAAATTGTCGGATGGGACTAATTATTACCGGGGAAGACACCGGCAAATCCGTCGGCTTTTTCAATGAGCTCGTTGACGGGAATCGATGCAATTGACTCGTCCTTACACTCGCCAAGAAGAGAAGAAGATGGATACATATTGGTACCCATGCCAAGCCTACGGCCTGTCTCTTTGCCAATTGCGAGTTGATCACCAGTGATCATCTTCACGTTGACACCGAGGTTGAGGGCACGGCGGATGGTCTCTGCACTATCATGCCTCGGAGGATCAAACAGAGACAAGAGACCAACGAACTCCCATGGCCCTCCTTCGCTCTCCTTGGTCTTCTCAGGAACCGTCTGGTGAGTGGCCAGACAATGTGATGACTCTAGACAGAGTTTTACGTAGAAATGCAAAGAAATATCTGATTATTGGCTTAGGAAGCTTGCGAACCTGTCGAGCAACAGCGAGCGAACGGAGGCCACGTGCGGCGAAATTGTCGATGAACGAATGGGCTTTTTTCATTGCATCCCCACGAAGCTTGCAAAGGTCCATTATCTAGCATACAAGTACCGAAGTTACAAAAGATGATTGAGAAAAATTAGGAGTAATTCTAAGTACGCATTGATCACCTGTTCTGGAGCACCCTTACTGCATCGATGCCAATTGCCATTACCGTCGACGTAGGTGATTGCAGTGCGCTTGTCCACCGGGTTGAAAGGTAGGAAATGCACCTCTGTAATTCCAGCCCTTGCCTGTAGAAGGACGTTCCAAATTAAAATTTGCCTCCATTCAGTATGATGAAGTTTGCAACATAAATATTGATGCAACATGAATGAAAACGCTCGGCATGTTAACCACCTCTTTGGGGTCGGCCAACGTTCCGACAATTGAAGCATCAATTGCATCCTGGTTCTCAACCCTGGATGCCCTGGCAGCAAGCAACATGACAGTGTCCTTGTCTGCATCCTTTGGAAACACCTGTAACGAAGATCGACCCCTAAAAATATTGAAATTCTACTACGACATTTACTTTACGACTAATGCGGGAGGAAGGCTTTTGTTGCAATCACCGGAATTTAGAGCCTGTTTACTGACCTCGATCAAGCTCTTGTCCACAGTGAGCTTGTTGAGGGTGAGAGTACCGGTCTTGTCGCTGCAAAGCACATCCATCCCGGCCATTTCCTCAATGGCAGTCATCCTCTTGGTGATGGCGCCTTGTTCTGAGAGTCGGTGAGACCCGATGGCCATTGTGACAGACAAAACCGTGGGCATTGCGATCGGGATCCCTCCGATGAGAAGGACCAACAAGTTGTCGATACCATCTCTATACCTCCTATGTTGGATCGGGTACATCACAACTACTTCAACTAGCATGCCCAACGCAATCGAGCAAATGCAGAAGTTCCCGATAGCTGTCAACACCTAATTGGACAATTAGAAAAGAATCGCGCACTCAAATTAGCATAATCTCAATGTTAACTTTCAGTTATGGACAACCATTCAAAGTATTGAATCAATGGAATGTCACATAATCGATACCTTTTGGAAGTGACCAACTTGGTTGGTACTGTCAACAAGGTGGGCTGCCTTGCCAAAGAAGGTATGGACGCCAGTGGCGATAACAATAGCCTCGATCTCACCTTGCTTGCAAGTGGAACCTGAAAACACTTCGTCACCTGGGTTCTTTGTCACGGGCAACGACTCACCTGTGAGGGCAGACTGATCGATCTTGAGGGGATCTCCTTCCAAGAGACGAGCGTCGGCGGGAACGATGTCTCCTAACTTGATGCTAATGACATCTCCAGGTACTAGGATTGCGGCCTCTTGCTCATTCCACCTACCATCTCTCAATACCTTCATTAATTTACGAACTTAAGTTAAAAGAACTTTAGATAATAATGCAATTTGCGTGTCAAATTTTTATAAACATAGAACCAGTGGAAGACACCTTGGTTTTGGGGGCTAGTCCGGCCATCAAAGCAGCCGCGGCATTGCCAGCGTTGTTCTCCTCGATAAAGCTAATAGTTGAATTGATGATCAACAATGTCACAATGCCGACAAAGTCTTGCCAATCTGGTGGCTTTCCCTGTAATTTTCATGTATCTTTCCCTTATGAGAGAGAGAGAGAGAGAGAGAGAGAGAGAGAGAGAGAGAGAGAGAGAGAGATGTGATTACCCCTCCATTAGCCAAAGCAATGGCCATGATTGCAGCGGCCTCCATGACCCATGATAGAGGGTTCCACATAAAACCCAAAAACTTGAGAAACTTGCTTTCCTGTCATATTATGCAAATCAATGTTACTATATGTGAAATTCACAGTAAAAGAATTCTATGAATATCAAAGGGGAAAAATAAAAAGTAATGCAATGACATGTTAATCTTTACCTTTTTCTCTTCAAGCTTATTCGGGCCAAAAATTTGAAGCCGCTTCTCACCCTCTGCATTCGACAAACCCTCTCTTGTACATTTTAGCTGTTCGAACACTTCCTCCACGGGAATCCGCTCCTATAAACACAAAGCAGAAAATTTGCAGACAGTTATGGCCAACAGTGTGTTTAATGGTTAGAAATGAATGAGACATACGAATGTGAAAACAGAAAGAAAAGGTTAAGATGGTCTAGACTAGAAAACGATGCTCAATGTGAAGTTGCCTTGGAATGCAAGAATGAACCATCATTTCACATGTCCATGTGGAGACATTCTTTGTAACCAAGAAACGCTTACAAGGTCGACGTTCTCGCTCTTGATTTGTTCTAAGGAGATGTCGCCAGAGGCCATCGTGGAAGAGATGGAGCATAGAAGAAAAAAGAAAGAAGTAGCTGTATCAAAATTCCTCTATTTCGTAAGCCTCCTCTTCCTCCAAAGAAGGACGAGGAGAGAGGCTCGAGGATGTGAGGTATGTCGTATCGGTTCCTTTGAAGAACGACAGGGAGGAGCTCAGCTTCAGGGCTGTGGTCTCTTTATAGTATTCTGTGAGAGAGAGAGAGAGAGAGAGACGCTAGGACAACAGTTTTTCCTGTTGTGGCATACCAAAGTCTGCGGTCAAACTGTTGGATGTCATTTTCATGGCTAATTTCAGATGTTCCATGAAGTTTTGACAATTGTTGGGAGGTGATAATTTAGTATGCAAAAGATTATCACACGTCCCCTTGGACTCTATGCTCTTGCTATCAAGCTTATTAATAAATTTACCTATTTAAAGTGGTTTTTGAATGATAAAGAAATCCTTATAACGATTCGTACATCATGAAACATGAGTGAAAGTAGGGATATTGACACAAATAGTCCATGAATTTTGGCTCAATGTGCAATTTGGTCAATGAACTTTTAATTTGTTCAATATAGTCCATGAACTTTAGCCTAATGTTCAATGTGGTCCTTGAATTTTAATTTATTCAATGTGATTCCTGTACTTTTGGTACATATTTTATTTAGTCCCTGAACTATATGAAAATGTTCAATATAGTCCCCGAACTTGAATTAATGGAAGAACCACATTAAATATTTTCATATAATTCAGGGAATAAATTAAACATGTATCAAAAGTTCAGGGACTACATTGAACAAATTAAAAGTTCAAGAACCACATTGAACACTAAGCTAAAGTTCATGAACTACATTGAACAAATTAAAAATTCAGGGATCAAATTGCACATTTAGCCAAAGTTCAGGGACTGTTTGTGTCATTTTCCCGTGAAAGTAATATAATATGAGCTTATGTCTTTTGGAATGACAATTCAGCGATTGCGGCATTGAGTTCACAATTCTCAGACAAAATAAGATCATTATAGGATCGTTATAAACCTAATTTGCCCCCCATGGTATTTGCTATTTATTGATATCGTGACATCCCAAGTTCAACATTTGATGAGAGAAACCTTTTTTAGTAATTCATAAATAAGATTCGACCTCAAATGGTCACCACCAAATGACTGATTAAGTGTTCCTTTCAGGAAGTTGGTTTAAGTGGACCAGATCGAGTAATCGCAAAAATGGCGTGATAGCCAAACCCCTTCAGAGGATGTGTATTCAAGGAAACAAAAAATAGCCTAGCTTATCCAAGGAGAGCGAGAAGGGAGAAATTGCACGTGTCAGTACTAAACCCTATTTACGAATGTCAATTGAGCTTTAAACTTCAAATTTTGTCAATTTAATCGTAAACTTTTGTACGAAATTTCAGTGCAATCCTTCCGATCAATTTTCCCCTGATATTGCTAACGTGGCAGTACACCACATAAGACGGTCGACGATAAATGAATTGCCAAGGGAGACCTCGTCGTGATCGGCTAGCTAGAGATATAACAACCTCAGATTGGAAGTCATAATGCCACAACTGGCCTTGAGGTCGCTTAGGTTCTTTCCTTTTCTTTTTGTTTATTGATCTGGTAAGAATGAAGGGCAATTTGGTTTTTTTTTTACATGTAAGGGGTAATGACACAAACAGTCCCTGAACTTTAGCTCAATGTGTAATTTGATCCCTGAACTTTTAATTTGTTTAATGTAGTCCATGAACTTTAACCCAATGTTCAATGTGGTCCATCAACTTTCAATTTATTCAACTTGATCCCTGAACTTTTGGTAAATATTCAATTTAGTCCTTGAACTATATGAAAATATACAATATAGTCCCTGAACTTGAATAAATGGAAGGACTACATTGAATATTTTTATAAAGGACTACATTGAATATGTACAAAAAGTTCAGGGATCACATTTAACAAATTGAACGTTCAGAGACCATATTGAACATTATGTTAAAGTTTATGGACTATATTGAATAAATTAAAAGTTCATTGATCAAATTGCACATTGAATCAAAGTTTATGGACTATTTGTGGACTGTTTGTGTCATTTCCCAACATATAAAGTGGTAATCTTCGAAATGGAGGGGTTTTAGTACTTTGTTTTCTTAATAAAAAGTACCTTTCCGTTTTTATTTTTTGAATGATGTGATAAGTCATCAGTATGAATAAAAAAAAACTATATTCACCTTGTTCAACTCACTCTTTTATGTAATTAATCAATCCAAAGTGGAGTTTAGTGTATATATACCTCTAGCATTAGTCTATTCTTTAATGTTAAATTTTCAATGTTGGTCTTTGAATTTGCACATTATATTGATCAAGTCCTCAAGATTTTAATACATCGATTCAAACCCTTGAACTTACAAAGAATTTCGTTGGTGGGTGTCTTGACATTCGATTTTGCATGTAGCTCCAATTGATCGGATGTGAAGCCGGAAATACATGATTAGAAAAAGTTACGCAAGTTTGACGACTTGATTATTTAAGGACTTGATTGGAAAAAATACAAGTTAAGAGACTTTAATCTTCTTTAAGATGGATTGGCCAGTGGATTTGAATGAAAATTGATGCACTACTTGTGTCATATGGAGTAAACTAGAGGACATTTGATTGATTGGAAGTTCAATCGAAGCGAACTCAAGTATCAGAAAGGCAAATTGACATTTTTTTTTCCCTTTTAACCATATTCACTCTAAGTTCTTAACCCATAGGGAAACTTGTCTTTCCATGTCGGATCAATGACGGATCAAACTAAAAAAAGCTGACAAAGATGTTAAATCCAAGTACAACAATCCATTATCCAAACAAAATGCTGGCCTCGAGGAATAATCTGAACAGTTAACAACCCATGCTATGAACATAATTTATATATAGATCACCTCAATGTAACCAAAGAAATTCTTATAACCTAAATATCCAAATAAGTATTTTTGTAAACTTCCTTCATATGTAAATGACTTGTACATAGTCTCTTCTTCTTCTTCTTCAATTCTAGCTCAGAAACTTGCTCCAAATGGCTTCTTGCAGTGCGTTGTCCCTCTTTTGGCTGGCCAGTTTTTTGGCTTGTGCTCTATTGTTACCAAATTCCAATGCCTTCCTAGCGCTTTCGCAGTTGGACAAACCTCAAAGCCTTCTTCAGTTTTTAGGCCAATTTTGCCTAGGCCAAAGCCACCAAATGGCCCCTCTCCACCTCCATCACCAATGGCATCTCCTATTTTGCCTCCATCCCAAGGAATCAAAGGTGGGTATTGGCTTTCTTCCCAGGCCAAGGATTTCCCGCCCTCAGCGATTCAAACTTCCCACTTCACTTGCATCTTCTACGCCTTCATCCAGGTCAACCCGTCGAGCTACAGAGTCTAATCACGGACGTGGATAAGAAATGGATGAAAAACTTCACTGCCACTCTCCGCCAGTAAAGGCCCTCCTGTTGGTTGACAGCATCGCTTCGAACTCAAGCGTATTTGCCGCCCTAGCCGGGAATTTCGAGAATTAAGGGGGCCCCTTCCTTAGGTCCGTCATTGGTGTGGCTCGGGACTACGGCTTTGCTGGCATCGATTTCGATTGGGAATTCCCCACCAGCCCATAAAACATGTCGATCCTATTCCACCTCTTGGAGGAGTTGCAAGTCTCCCTAGAGACGGAGCACATAGCTTCGGGCAGGCAAAAGCTCCTCTTGATGGCTGCCGTGTACATCTCCGCCGAATTCTTCCTATCCAATGACCCGACAACGTTTTACCCAGGTGACGCGAAGAGGGATTTTTTGGACTTCGTGAACGTGTTATGCTTTGACTACCACGGGAGCTGGGACACAACGGCCACAGCCGAGGACGTGCTGCTCTATGATTGGGCGAGCAACATAAGCACAAGCAATGGGATATCAACATGGGTCGACTCAAGGGTGCCTCCAAAGAACCTGGTGATGGGGCTTCCATGTATGGGCGGACATGGACATTGAAAGACCCAAGTGAGAACGGGATTAGAGCTTCTGCTGTTTGGTTGGCCCCGGCAAAGATAGGTTCACGACATATGCTTGAGATTGTGGGGTTTAATGAGCAGAATAGTTCCACTGTGGTGTATTATCATTTGACTGTGTCCACCTATTCCTACGCTGGAACTAGTTGGAGTGGACATAATGGGCCAACTTCAATAGAGAATAAGGTCAAGTTTGCTAAGGAAGAGTCTTGGTGGCTACTTTTTGTGGGCACTTGGGTATGATGACCAGGATTGGACCCTTTTTCAGACAGGTAATTAGTATAGTGCACCAAATTTACTTTATAGAAAATTTATCCAAAAAATCCTAAATCTATTGCACTTTTATTAATTTGATCATAAACCTTTTAATTTTACCAATTGTATGTTCAACATTTTCACATTTTGCCAATTAAGCTTATCCGGCCAATTTTGGGCTAAATTCGCTGATATGAACGCTTGCCGTCCTACGTGACACGATCGGTATTAACATGGACAAATTTTAATAATTTCTTAATTTTTTTCAATTTGTTTTTTTTTTCCTTTTTGGCTCAAAGGGCCGGCGACCCCGTCAACCCCTAGGCGAGGGCCATGAAGCCCTCCCCCCTAGCCCTTGCCAACTAGGGGCGAGGTCATGGCCCTTCTCAGATTTGGCAAGGGCTTACGAGCCCTCGCTGTGGCCAGCGAGGGATGGCAAGGGTTGCAACACCCTCACCGGTCTCAACAAGGGGCTGCTACCCCCGTCGACCCCTTGGTGAGGGCCATGAATCCCTCCCCCCTTGCCCTTGCCAGCTACGGGCAAGGTCATGACCCTTGCTGGATCTGGCAAGGGCTTACAAGCCCTCGTTGTGGTCGGCGAGGGCGAGCAAGGGTCACAACACCGTCTCTGGCCTTAGCCCCTTGCTCAAGATCGGCGAGGGCTTAGTGGCCTTCGCCCAAGGGCCGTCGGGGGTCACTGGCCCTCAGTCAATGGTCAGCGGAAGTCGCTGGCTTACTCGCGACCGACGAGAGCTTCATGGCCCTCGCCTAGGGACCGGCGAGGGTCACCGGCCCTTGGTCAATGGTCGACAGAGGTTGCCAGCCCTCAGCGGGCTGCCGATCCTTTGAACAAAAAAAGAAACAAAAAAGAAAAAGAAAGAAAATAAAATAAGATAAAATAAATTCGAAAAATGATTAAAAACTATTACAATTTGTCCACATCAGAGCCAGTTGTCCTGCCACATAGGACGGTCGATGTCCGCATCAGCAATTTCCGACCAAAATTGATCGGATGGACTCAATTGACAAGACTTGAAAAGATTGAGGATTCAATTGGCAAAATTAAAAAGTTTGGATTGAAATGATAAAAATGCAATAAGTTTAAAACTTTTCGAACAATTTTCATATTTCTCAAGGTTCAATTCATCTTCATTCATACTTATTATTTCGAATTAGCGAGCGTAACTTTGCGGAACTGAGATTAATGCTGCCAAAGAACTCAAATAAAACAATCGGACAACTTCTTTCTCATCATGTAGAGCATAATTATTTGCCTAGCCATTTTATATTGTTGTGAAACTTGGATCCTGTTTCATATTTTCAGCTTCAACTACATGGGGTAGTGGCAATTGATGGACTACAATGTGTATTGGCAGGGTATATGGACCGCGATCGATATTGGTAAGTTTCGTCCCGAAGCCCATACTATCTTTTTTACAAGATATGAATACGCAATACAAAGAAGTGCCATGTATTAATAAATTTGCTGAAAGTTGGTTTACTAAATGACAGGATAAGCCGGCATGTACACCTCGTGTTGAAACGCGAAACTTTTAATCGACCGTCATGAGCATCAACAAATCATTTAACATATCCGTTCCACTACTCGATCGATACTTTGTTTCGCACATTTGTCTTGATATCGGAATGATAACCATCCTTGCAAGTGCACTCACGTAGTCATAATGACCTCAGAATGATCTTCAAATCAATTTTATTTCATCCTCTCTATCCACTAGTGTTACAATAAGGATTTAAATAGACATAATCAACATTACCTAATTTTCGACCAAAAAAAAAACATTACCTAAGACTTAACTAGTGATTCTATACGCATTATGATAGGGAGGTTCTGTCGTATGTTGAGCTCCCACTAGACATTAAAATCTCCAAAGCTCCGGTGAGGCCCCCACACAGTCTTTCAATGTCCAATTCATTTTCCATAGGTCCAGGCTCTATAAGCTGCAAGATACAAAAATCGAATGATATTAGCATATTTTTGTAGAGCGTTTTCACTAATAAACTTTCAATTGTGGTCAGCTACTCAGACAGAGTAAATTACCTTGGGTTGATATCCTCCATTCTTTGTCATAACTGAGAGCCCAGAAGAAGTACCCCCTTAGCCCAAGAGCCCGAGCGAGCCGAACCTTAACGGCCGTCGAGACAACATCGTCGTATCCCACCCACGACGTCCCCTGAAAAGAGTAGGTTGACACGGTGGTCGTGTCGTACTTCACGGTGGCGTTGTTCTCCTTGTTGAACGTTTGCACTTGAGAATAGGTAAGCACGCCGTCGTCTCCCGGGCCGAGCCCGACGGCCGGCGCCCCGATGCCGTGAACATTCGGATCCCTGAGCTTCCAAGTCCTTCCGTAAAGTGGCAAGCCCATGACCACCTTCTTCCTCTGCAACCCGGCCCGGATCCATGACCCGAGCCCATAGCTCGAGCTTATGTTGCTATTCGGGTCGAAGAATGCGGCTTGGGCCCCCGTGGCCGAAGTGTCCCACGAGCCGTGATAGTCGTAGCACATCACGTTGATCCAGTCCAAGTTCTCGTTAATTGAAGCCACAGGGTACATGCGGTACGTTCCCGAGAGGAAGAAGTCCACGGCAAAGTACACGGCGGCCGTGAGAAGCAGCGGGGGCCGACCTGTGGCCTTGGCCTCCCTCTTCATTGCGCTTCGCCACTCTTGGAACAGCAAACCCAAGTCCGCCATCTGTTTCGGGTTCTCGGGCATTTCCCAGTCGAGATCAAGCCCGTCAAAACCGTACTTCCTCGCGACCTCGATGGAGGAGTCTATGAAGAGCTCCCGTGTCAAAGCGCTCGCGGCAATGGTGGCGAAGAGAGTCGGGCCATCGCTCGCGCCGCCGATAGATATGAGGGTCTTCACAGGCGGGTCCTTACCGCGGAGGGCGGCAGTGAAGTTCGAGAGCAGAGGGGCCGTGGAGTCCGAGACTTCGAACTTGTAAGTCGAATTGCTCGGCGAGAGGAAAGCGTAGAGGATGTGAGTGAAGAGCTTCGTCTCTATGGATGACGGAGGCAAAGAACTCAAGAGCCATGAAGGATAATAAGCGCCTTTAACCGCTGCCGCCGGAGTCGAAGCCGCGACAGCGCCTTCCGCAGCTGCAATAGAGAAAAGAACTACGAAGAGCAAATTCAAGGAGCTGAAGTTTGCCATGCTTTGCCGGAAAAGGGTTCGAAATGGCTGAAGCATGTGTACAAGTAAAAGGGATAGAGCCTATGTATCTATATATATGAATCGAATTTGTCTTAGGTATTATTCAGATCGGATTCTTGGATAGAAAATTCTTGGGACCGCAGATATGGATGATTTTTTCCATAAGTTGCGTGATATTGGAACCATGTTCTAGATGATAACGAATGAAGAAAATGTTAAGTGAATGGTGGTTTTGATTATAGTTGAGAATCGCTTTCTTTACTGGTAAAAGAGCATTAAATTATGAAATTGAAATATATCTAAAGGGCTGCCTTTCTTGACCCACTCCATTATTTAGCCCGAAGTGGCTTGTCCATTATGTATGGAGCTAAGCTGGTTGGCATCGTACTCATCCCACAATTCACAAATCAAATGGGTAGAGGCCATTCATATTCGTGATTTGAACTCAACGCTATCATAATGAATTACTGTTTGATGTGTGTAATTAAGTGGAACTAGTGAATTGCTCGAAGTACTTTCGAACACCGTCATGGGCCATTTGTGTTATAGTCGGGTTAATTTTGAGCATGCAGTTTCGAAGATTGTACTGTTACTCTTCTGGAACATCGAATGCGGGGCAAGGTTGACTTTACCTTGTCGATAGGAATAAGTCAACGATTTCGTAGCCATCGACTCGAGGGTTAAATGAGCTCGAGCCTTGAGGTCAAACTTGAACACGAAGGAAATTGGTCTGTGCGATTGATGTTGCTAAGTACCTAATTGCACATTTGACTTGGCTTGCAATCTGGAAAGCGGGCGCATACCGGAGTCGACACTCAAAAGGATCAAAAACCGCAAATTGCTCGTTGACTTTCACGAGTTGTTTACATTACGCAACCACGTGTGAGATCATGCACGGCTGACCAAAGCACGTTTGTTTTGAATATTTGACCCGATTGATCAGGCGAAATATTGTTCAAGAAGCATATTAGGCAACTGCAAAGTCTTTGTGCGGACATTTAGGCCAGTATCTAGTTCTCTTCAGACATCTTGTTTAGGTCATGATGGCGTTTCGTTCATGCGACGGTCCACCACTTGCGTTGGTGTTTGTGCGGTCCTCCTATGTGCGTTCATTGAACTTTGCAGCTGACAATCACTCGAGTGGAGGCCCAATGGATAACAAGGATAGATAGTGAGGATAGAGGTCCCGAGCCAAGTGCCAATGAGGGCACGAGTCAACCCACGACGGAGGATAGTGTCGGTGGTGAGGGGGAGCTCACAAAGACGCGGTATTTCATAGCGACTGATAGAGAATAGAGAGATTTTTTTTTTTGTCAGAAGGAAATTTTCATTTCACACAAAAAGACAGGTACATAACTTCAAGACAAATCCAATCACAAAGCTTTATTTACAGAGACTTGCTCATTCCAAGAGAATGAATTTATCATAGCACCATAGCACAATCGGCGGCCGATCATCGAAACTCGTATTATCATCGGTGATGAGCGCAGCCGAAATTTTCCTTTCTAATAGCTACGGCTTTGTCAAAAAAGTGGTACGCGCCTAAGTTCAGCGTCCCCAGCATCATCATAGAGACAACATCAACACCAATAGGTTGAAAGAGCACAAATAATGTCATGTAAATCCCAAATTTATATCTAGATCGGGATATAAGAGCATTCAAATCTAGATCTAACTCTAAATCGAGAAAGAAGAATTGCAAAATAGATACTAGTTGATCACAAAAATAATTTCAGATAAGCTCACCGTTGAACACAGCGAGAGATGAGCTTTAGAGACTTGTGGAGCGCTCGACTTTTCGGAGCAAACACCTAGAGCCAAAGTGAGCATGTTGATTCTTCCAAGGCACTCGTGCTTCGATTTTTAGAGTTCACTGGGACAAAACTCTCCACTTTCTTAGAGGAAGTCGACAACAACGTCCACGAAATCACCGAAGAAGTCTTGAAGGATTCTTGAAGAAGAAGAGATAGGGAGATGGAGAGGGAGAGGGAGAGGGAGAGAACTCCTTGGGAAAATTACCAAAACAATCATAAACCTATTACAATTGTGCCAATTCAGTTTTAAACCTTTTTTTTTGTCAATTCAGTCCTAAACCTTTTGTGTTTGTGCCAATTCAGTCCATCCGGCCAATTTTGACCGGGCGGCACTGACATGGACACGGGTCAGCCGGCCAACGCTAACGTGACAATTTTTTAATAATTTTTTTTTTGAATTTTATTTATTTTTTCTTTTCTTTTCTTTTTCCTTTCCTTTTCTTTTTCCCTTTCTTCTTTTTTTTTTTCCTTCATCTTCATCTTCAACCTTTGGCCGGTCGCTGGTCCGGCCACCGGCCAAAGGCGAGGGCCAGCGAGGTCAACCCCGTCGGCTACTAGCGAGGGCTCGTCCTCAACCGCCCCTGGCGAGGTTGACCTAGCCGTTTCTGGGTGAGGACGACCTTGCCAGATCTGGTGAGTTCGAACTCGCTAGCAACTAGCAAGGCCGGCCTTGCCGAGCAATGGCGAGGTCGAGCCTCACCAAGGGCGAGAAAGGGCAAGGGCTCGAACTCGCCAGCATTGGCGAGGTCGGCCTCACCCAATGCTGGCGAGACGAGGCTTGACCAATAGCTGGCGAGGCCGACCTCGCCAGCCAAAGGTTGAAGATGAAGATGAAGGAAAAAAAAAGGGAAAAAAAATAAAAATAATTCGAAAAAATAAAAATAATATTAAAAAATTGCCACGCCAGCGTTGCCCGGTCGGCTGACGTCATCGTCGGCCGGTCAAAATTGGCCGGATGGATTGAATTGGTACAAATACAAAAGGTTTAGGACTAAATTGGCACAAAAAAAGGTTTAAGACTGAATTGGCACAATTGCAATAAGTTTAGAACTATTTTGGTAATTTTCCCGATATCCTTCATGAACGATCTTCAAAGAAGGGGCAAGCGGCTCGGAGAGAGGAAACCCTACAAGCAAAAAGTGAAAATGCAAGACGAGAATAGAGATATTAGAGAATCACAAATGTATGGTTATATAGTTTACATTACTTCTGATAGCGTTGTTCATCCTTATCTATTGCAGAGGAGACACAGGACCCCCTCTCATACCAAGAGGGGGTATGAGGTGTAGATACTCTATAGTAGATTGATGCTTTGGGAGAGAAAATAAGAGTCTCTTCAACTAAATCAGACTTGACAGGTAATAGTACCTCCAAAGGGGTAGAAGATGGTGGGATACAATCGGTTTATTCAAGCAGAAGCTTGGCGATCTTGGTTTAGAGGCGACCAAATATAAAGCATGCCTTGTGGCGAAGGGATCCACACGGTGTGAGAGTATTGACTGCAGTAAGTTATTATCACTTGTGCTAATGCATGACTTGATTAGGGTGTTGTTGGGATTGGCTGCAACGGACATTTTGGAGTTGGAGCATGTGGATGTTAAGACACTTTTCTACACATAATGTTGGAGGAGCAGATACATGCAACAACCGGAAGGTTATGTCACTTTCTGGCCCAAGAAGGCAAGTTATGGTTGCTTAAATGATCCCTCTATTATCTTAAGCAATATCCTAGATAGTGATACAAACGGTTTGACTCCTTTATTACTTGCCAGCAGTATAGTAGGAGTGCTCATGATAATTATATGTATTATAGAAAGTTAGAGAATGTTAGCTACATTATTTTTTATTTTTGTCGAATGTTGGCTACATTTATTTGTTGTATGATAATGATGTGTTGATAGAAGCCAAGAACATGTCTGAATTTGATGAGCTGTAGTGGTAATTGAGTAGTGAGTTCGAGATGAGACTTAGGTGCAGCAAAAAAGATACTCAATATGGAGATTTAGAGGGATAGGTCTGCAAGGACGCTTTAGCAATCACAAGGTAATTACATGAGTAAAGTGCTAAGACGGTTTGGCATGCATAACGCCAAATGGTGAGTACCCTATGAACTGCGCATTTGAAGCTTTCAGTTGTCCTTGGACCACTGTCGGAGGATAAGAGAGTATATGTCTCATGTTCTCTATGAGCAGGTATATGAGTAATCTTGGAAAGAAACACTGGGAAATGAATTCCAACGAATTTGAGATGGACAGTAGACGGCGGTTTGACTTTTTGGAAGAGATCGACTCCAAGAGGTATAACAGGTTATGCATATTCAGATTTTGTCAATGACTTGGATGGACCGAGGTGCTTAACAAGTAATGTGTCCAGTTTGCAAGTTGTGCAATCAGTGAAAAGTGCAATGACAGTCGGTAGTTGCTTTGTCAAGGAATGAAGCAAAGTATACGGGGCAATCAAGGAAGTTATTTTGGCTCAAAGGTTTACTCAGTGATCTGGAATTGCAACAGGAGAAGATTGTTGGATATTGCAACAATCAAAGTGCAACACATTTGATTTTAATCGGAAGTGTTACAACCGGACGAAACACATTGATGTCAAACATCACTTTATTCGTAATATTGTGTCATAGAAAACCACATCCGTTGAGAAAGTGAATAAGGTAGATAATATGGGATACATGTTAACAATTCGTATCCAATTGAGCAAGTGCCGAAATTGTTTAGATTACACGAGCATCTGTAGAGGGTGAGGAGCCCAAATGGGCTAGGGAGAGACAAGGATCGATGAGGATGGAGTTGGACTTCTTGCCAAGGTGAAGATTTGTTGATTATGGCTCAAAGTTAATCCCGATTGATTTGAAATGCAGCCCATAATTGAATTATAAGGAAACCCAGGCCATATTAGGAAAGTTCAAATTGAACTCTTGCCAATAGGATCGTGGGTGGTGGTAAAAAGGAAAATTAATTTCTCACAGACTTTTTTTCCTCATTGAAGATGAAGTCCATGTTGATGTCGGATAAGGGCTCATAGTGTTTTCGCATACAAGTATGCTGTTAAGTCTGGCCTTGTGTGCATGGTGAGCTTCTTTAATATGTGCGAAAACTTGTGAGAGGCAAAGAGAGCAATGTAAGCTATTGTTGAGAGGGCGAGAAAACTCCATTTTTGCAATTCGTTCTTATGGGTTTGAGTTTAGTCTATTAGTCTCCTATCGAAAAACACTTATGAGTGAGTGGACCGAGCGATTGTAGTTCGTGGTGCAAGACAACAAAATCGATATTAAACTAACCATGATAGCACAATGATTCCACAATTAATCCTGAGGAACTGAATAATCAGATGAATACAATAATATCTGAAA